TTGTATGTATAGTGCTCAAAATTAAAATCAGAGATCCATACATTTTGCTTTGTTTTGTTTTGAGACTGGATCTCACTATGTAATTCAAACTGGCCTTGAACTCACTGTGATCCTCCTGCCTCAGCCTCCGGAGTGCTGGGATTATAGGCATGCCCCACCACACCCAACCCAGTTTGCAAAATAGCAATTTATTTCTCATGCTTTAGGAGGCTGGAAGTCCAAGATCAGGTTGCTAGGAGATTCATTGTCTGGTGAGGGCTCACTTTCTGGTTCATAAATGGTACCTTCTTGCTGTGTAAATCAATCTTTCTTCCTTTCTTTTTCTTTCTTTCTTTCTTTCTTTCTTTCTTTCTTTCTTTCTTTCTTTCTTTCTTTCTTTTTTCTTTCTTTCTTTCTTTCTTTCTTTCTTTCTTTCTTTCTGTCTTTCTTTCTTCTTTCTTTCTTTCTTTCTTTCTTTCTTTCTTTCTTTCTTTCTTACTTTTTCTTTCTTTTTGCAAAAGTTCTTCTCTACATTTAACCAAGGAATCAAAAGACTTGTACACTGAAAACTACAGAACATTAACTAGACATGGTGGTGCATGCCTCTAAAGCAAGCATTGGGGATGCTGAGGCAGGAGAAGTGCAAGTTTGAGTCTCAATTTAGTGAGACCTTGTGTCAAAAAATAAAAGGGGTTGGAGGTTTAGCTCAGTGCAGAGACCCTGGATTCAATCCTCAGTACAAAACAAAACAAACAAACAAACAAATAACTACAACACATTGCTGAAAAAAAGAAGAGCCCAGCGTGGTAGCACATGCCTATGATCCCAGCACTTAGGAGCCTGAGGCAGGAGGATCAGCTGGTTCAAGGCCAGCCTGAATTACAGAGTAAGATCTTGACTCAAAAAAGAAAAAAAAAATTAAGACATGAAGAAATGGAAAGACTTAACATTGTTTAAGATGTGAGTGTTCCCCATAGCGCTTACACATTCAGTGACATTCCTGCCCAAATCCCAATGGCTTTCTTCTCCCAAAATAAAAAATCCATCCTTAAAGTCATAAAGAATCTTAAAGGACTCTGAATAACCAAAATAATCTTGAAAAGCAAAAAAAAAATTGGAGGACTGAGACCTCCTCACTTAGTAATGTAATAAGACCCTGTTTCAGAATAAAAATTTTAAAAATAGAGATATAGCTCAGCGTGAAGGCCCAGGTTAAATCTCTAGTACTGCAAAACAAACAAAAAAACCCCACAATATAAGAAATTGTCAAACCAGAAGAAGGAAGTGCGAGACAGCTCAGTGCTGTGCTGAATCCCTTACTTTGATCCCTAGCAATGTAAAGCAACAAAGCTCATGCACACCTTATCACTTCATGCCTATTAAGACAGCTATCATCAAAACATTTTATATGCGTAAAATAATAAATGCCAGTGAGGTTATAAAGAAGTTGGCAACCCTTATACACTGCTGTCAGGAATGTAAAATTGTGTGCAGCTACTGTGGAAAACTGGCTGGCCATTCCTTAAAAATATTAACCTAGCTAGGCGTGGTGTTGCACACCTGTAATCACAGCACTCAGGAGGCTGAGGCAGGAGGATCCTTGCAAGTTCGAGGCCAGCCTGGGCTACAAAGTGAGTTCAAGACCAGCATGAACTGCATAGTGAGACCCTGTCTCAAAAAAAAAAAAAAAAAATTTAACCTAGAATTACCACATATCCTAGCAATTCCACTTGTAGCTGTGTGTCCAAATGAAAACTGGTTCTTGAACAAGTATTTGAAGAAGACATAAGAGCATTATTCATAAAGTGGAGTATAATAAAAAAGTGCAGACAACCTAAATGTCCATCTATAAGTGAGTAAACAAAGTGTGGTAGGTATACACAAGGAAATATATTCAGCCTTACAAAGGAAGGGAGATCTAATACAGGTTACAGCATAGGCGGACTTGAAGCTGTTATACTACGTGAGGTAAGGCAGACACAGAGGGACAAACCCTGTATGATTCCACTTACACGAGGCGCCCATCATGGTCAGACTCATGGAGATGGATGCAGTGTACAGCTGTAATCCTGGCTGTTCGGGAGGCTGAGACAGGAGGGTTGTGAGTCCAAGACCACGAGGGGCAGCTTAGCTATACTATCAAAATGAAAAGGGCTGGGGATATAGCTCGGAGGTGCAGCGCTTGCCTAGCATGTGCGTGTGTGAGGCCCTGGGTTCTATTTCCAGGTCCGTGAAAACAAAACACAATGTGAATGTACTTCATGCTACTGAATTGTACACTTTGAAATGTTGAAAACGGTCATTTTTGTTATGTATATTTGCTACAAATTCTAGCAGCTCAAAAACATTCTTTTGTACTCTTTCTTTATGTGTTATTATAAACTCCCATCGATTTGTTGGGTGTGCTGCCACTGAGGAGGCCGCAAAGGGACAGCTGGCTCTTCGCAGAGGGAGGGCGGAGGAGAGTGGCACCTCTGGCTGGGAGCGCAGAGTTGCACACGGCACCTCTCTTTGCTTCCACTGCAGCACCCCCACGCTCAAACTGGTGGCCCCCCACCCCGCCCAGCAGTGGTGGCTTGACCATTGATACTGGCCATTCAGCAGTGGCCAGATTATGTGTCTGGACGCAGTCAGAGTACAGGGGAAAAGGGCTGCTCTTTGTTGGTGCCTGCAGTGATTTTCAGAGGAGGACCCACCTTTGTGGTGAAAACAAAAGCGAGCCTACCTTACCCTTCAGTACTTTATCCTTTAGTGAGGTGCAGAGTATGTAGTGACGCCTTTGGAGGAGATGAGATTCCGCAGTGTGGTGCAGTTATTTTCTACACAGGCTGAATACAGTCAATTCTGAACTTGATTTTTGACTTCTAGAGACATGAACACCTGTCTTTAACCATATCCAGCAAACCTGGCAAGAAAAATTATCTTCTACCAGAAAACTAACCCCTTTATGATCTCAAAGAAAACATGAACTACAAGTTCAGAGGGAAAATATAGTTTTTTGTTTTTTTGTCTTTTTGAGACAGGGTCTCGCTGCACAGTTCAGGCTAGCTATGAGCTCACTTTGTAGCCCAGGCTGGTCTCAAACTTGCAACTATCCTCCTGCCTCAGCCTCCCGAGTACTAGGATTATAGGCATGCACCATCACGCCCAGCTGCAGAAAATCTAGTTTTAAATAATCTGAATTTTGCATTATTTTAGGAAGTATACCTTATGCTTGTATTGGGTGCAGGTTAGGAGCCATATTTGGGGACTTTGATTATTTTGTATGATATGAGAATTTCTAGGGCGGGGGATATAGCTCAGCGGCACAAGTGCCTGCCTGCCAAGTGCAAGGTCCTGAGTTCTATCCCCCGTACCAAAAAAAAAAAAAAAAGAGAGAATTTCTGGAACTTAAGAGGTACTGGTTCACGCTTGTAAAAAAAGTTTGGAAGATCAAATAGAAATGATTTGTGTATTGTGCATAGAGATTGCTTATGCTGTACTTGTGCTTCGTTTTATTGGTCCATAGATAATAACAAATTGTACAGGCTGAGAACAGATACCCTGTGTATGCTGATTGAGGATATGGGGAAATCTGTGGAAGGTGAATCAATCCATCAAGCCAATCTTTGAGTATCTGGAAAACAACATTATCTTATCAGAATGGAAAGAAATGCCTGTATGTGATATTCCTATCAAAATGAGGACTAAATGTCTCTGATATTCCCTATTCAGAGGTTTTCAAAGTTCCATTATGCTCATGAAAAAGCATGCTGTGATTGGTAGTGGTTGTTAATGGTGGTCTTATTGGCTGGGGATATTCTCCTCCTGTAGGGAGTTAGGATGGAAGAAAAGTCAGTCATATAACCCTCTAGTTCAAGCCTTGAACTCTGCTTGTATTCAGTTTTTGTTTAATGTTTTCAAATCACACTTCTGAATACCTTCTACAAACCCAATCCCAAACTTGATACTTGGAGGAATTAAAGAATTAGGGATTTTGTTTTGTTTTGATTTTAGTGTTTTGTTTTGTTTTGGTTTTGGTTTTTTTGGGTTTTTTTCCGGTACCTTGAATTGAACTCACAACCTTGCGCTTGCCAGGCGGGCGCTGTGTCACTGAGCTAAATCCCCAGCCCCTGATTATGGTGTTTTTTGATGCTGGAGATTGAACCCAGGGCCTTATGCATGCTAGCTGAGTAGTCTTCCACTGAGCTACAAACCCAGTGATTTTGGTTTTTTGAGAGAGGTTCTTGTTATGTAGTTCAGGCTGACTTTGGGCAGCAGTGATCCTTCTGCCTCAGCCTCCCACATGCTAAGATTACAGGCGTGCACCACCATGCCCCGCTTAAGAAATGTAAGTCTTGCTTAAGGAACATACAATCCAGCATCGCATAAAGATTCACATGCATCAAGGAGATAGATAGAAATCTAAACCAGTGAGGCATCTCAGCTCTGCAGCACTTTTCTCAGATTTTGTGGTCTGAGGACCAGAGCCGCAGAATCACCTCCGCCCACCTGAACCTGCTGAGTCCACTCCAGCGGGCGCAGCCTGTACGTTACATGCATTCTGATGCACATAAACGTTTGAGAACCACTGTTATGCTGCCCAGTCTCAAAGTAACGCAAGTGCACGTGTTCCTGCGTGCTTTGTTTTCCCTCGGTGCACAGTAGGGGCTGCACTGATGTTCGTACGCAAATAAGGACGACATTCCAGTTTCCTGAGTCCGCCCTTCCTTTGAAGAAGTTTAGGAAGGAGTCCTTGCCTTGCCGCCTGTTACGTTACAGGTGGCAGGGCAGGGTAATTATTTTTATTCTGAAAGATTTTTCTAAGTGCTTTGCATGTCACAGCCCTGATTCATACTTTTTTTTAGACACCTTGTTTTCTAAAATCTTTCAGCTAAGCCATGTGAATGATTCATTCAGAAATCTTTTTTACAGTTGGTAACTCTCTCACAGAAAGGTCAACAGAAATCAGTGCCTGTGGCTTCCTTGGTCTGAGCCTGCTGCCCTCGCTCACCTGCTGTTCTGCCTCTGCTTGCTTCCAGGTGGAAAGCTCTCCGTGGTCCTCCCTGCCAAAGACCTAGAGCTGCTGCTGGAACCGGCCACATCTGCATTCGCCAAGGTGACCGCTATGCAGAGAGACAGCAGTATTTGAGGAAAGTTGTGGCTTGCCTTTTTTTTTTTTTGTCTTTTTGAGACAGGGTCTCCCTATGTAGTTCAGGCTGGCCTTGACCTCACTTTGTAGCCCATGCTGGTCTCGAACTTGCAAGGATCCTCCTGCCTCAGCCTCCTGAGTACTGGGATTACAGGCATAGCTTGCATTGTTAAAAACAAGTGAAGGTTTCATGTGCTGATGTGACATTCTTATAAATGCCTCCTCCAAGTGGCATACATTTTCTAGATTCCTAACTGCTTTCTTTTTTTTTTTTTTTTTTTGTTTTTCTCCGGTACCGGGAACCGAACTCACGACCTTGCGCTTGCCAGGCAGGCGCTTTGCTGCTGAGCTAAATCCCCAGCCCTCCTAACTGCTTTCAAAGCAAAACCTTATTGGTTGCAGCACCAGCTCCTGCTCAGTCAAGTGTCAGCTTACCTACATGAAGAAGCCTCTGATTTTTTTTTTTTTTTTTTTTTTAAAAGAGTCCAAAACAGCTTACTACAGAAGAAATCAGTTTCTATTAAAATAGATACTAGGGGGGCTGGGGATTTAGCTCAGCGGCAAAAGCGCCTGCCTGGCAAGCGCAAGGTCGTGAGTTCGGTTCCTGGTACCAGAGAAAAACCAAAAAAAAAAAAAAAAAATAGATACTAGGGTAAAGGGGCTTTAAAATGTGCTCCTTGAGTCCCCTTCTTGGCTTCCTACATCCTCTGCAACGTAACTGATTTTTTTAAAAGAAAAATGAGGCTGGGGATGTGGTTCAGTGGTTGAGTTCTTGCCTTGCAAGCACAAGGCCCTGGGCTCCATCCCCAGTGCCACAAAGAAAAATGAAAACATCTGAGCAGTAAACAGCTCTGCCCACCCTGGTCTGCTAGACCCTGTGGAAAGCCTCCAGGAAAACAGCTGACTGCAAAAAAAAAAAAAAAAAAAAAACAGCTGACTGCAGCAGGTCTGCGCAGTGCCGACGCTGCTCACGGCGTCTGCTGTCCCGGGGCCGCACGTGTCAGGGTTCAGTTTTCAGATTTACCAGCTCAGGGACTTAAAACCCAGCTATGATAAGCGTCTGGATAAACAACTATCAGGCAGACTACTTGGCCAGAATGCCATCTAAATTAATTTACGAAGGGTAATAACTGCTATCAGTTATAAATTCAGGAGACCAAAGTGCTAATCAGAAAAGTGCTTGTCTAGCAGCAGCCTTTGAACCGGTCCTTCTGCCCCATCCATGCTGTGCAGTGTTGCAGAGCAATCATCCAAAAGCACAGCTGTGACAGACCCCCCGGCGGGAAGCCATGTGCCCCCAATCAGTGTAAACCCCCGGGGGCTGTCCACTGTGTGTGTGTGTGTGTGTGTGTGTGTGTGTGTGTGTGTGTGTATCGTGCATACTGTCAATGCCTGTGTGTCTACCTGGCCGCACTTCTGTTTTACCCAGTACATGTCCTACCCTCACTCTCTGCTCTCGCATCGTACATAACATTTACGTGATGTGCTTCTTGTCCTCCTAACTTCCTCACATCTTTCTCCAGCAAAAGTCTCCCTCGTCTTACTATCCCTGTGAATGTGCTCTCCATCAGGAGACCTCAGGACTGCACCTTGCTCAATCTGATGAACTCTTTCCCCAGCTGGAACCCTTAGCCGTTTGTTTAGACCACCAGCTCCCAAGCTCTGTTCTGTGTCAGACTCAGAGAATTAGTAAAGAACACAGAGGCCCTAGCTGGGCGTGGTGGTGCGCGCCTGTGGTCCCAGCACTTGTGGGGCTGAGGCAGGAAAACACTGACTTGGAGACCCCCTGGGCTACAAAGTAAGTTCAAGGCGGGCCTGAACTACATAGTGAAACCCTGTCTGGAAAACACAAAAATAAGGGGCTAGAGATGTAGCTCAGCAGCACAGCGCCTGCCTGGCAAGTGCAAGGCCCTGGGTTCGAGTTCCAGTACCAAAAAAAAAGACAAAAATAAAAAAGAGCAGAAACCAAGGCTTGGTGTGTTGAGACAGGCCTGGACCCTTTGAAGGTGTCCCAGGTCCCTGCACAGTCTCTCCTCACTTAAGATCTGAGCATAACTAGTGAGGCCTTTCTTAGAACAGTCTAATTTTCTGTCTTAATGTGATTGGTGCATTTATTAGCCCTCCTTATTAAATGTTGAGCTTCTATAGCTCTCACTCATCTTTAAATGTGACTCCAGACTCCTGCTCCCCAGCAGTGACTTTCAAAAGTAGGAGGTCGGTTGCTGTGCACTGTATGTAATTGAGAAACAGAAGCAGCACCGAGAGGATGGGCGGGGGAAAGTTCAAGTGATATTTGCCACCATGGAGCAAACGTGGAGTCTTCAGTAAATGCTGATGATGATGTGGCAGGGAAAGCACTGCGGAGTCTGTACTGAATCAGGTACGAACGTTCCAGGGTCCACTGGGTTCTCACCTGATGCTATTATCCACCATCCTTGTCGAAGGACATAGGTTTCAATGATAACAAACAGCCCGCTGTGACACGTGTGCCATAGGTTTGCCATCACTGAAGACAGTCCGTGAGAGCGAGAAGGCAAGCGATGATCTGGTCACAACAAGGACAAAAGTGGAGCAGCCGGGGCCCGGGGAGATAGCTCAGCGGCACAGCGCCTGCCTGGCAAGCGCAAGGTCCTGAGTTCGATTCCTGGTAGCAAAAAAAAAAAAAATGGAGCAGCCAGTGGGGCTTGCTCAGGGAAGCAGGGAGTGAAACCCAGGGGTATCTCCATGATCTCTATGACCTTAGCCTCTGAGGTTCTTCGAGCGCATGCAGGCCAGGGACAGGGTAGAGTGGTGTCGTCAGTCAGCGTTGAAGCCGGGCCCGTGAGGGCTGTGCTTGCAGCTGGCGGGAGGGGTCCAGCTGAGGTTAACTGGGGTGGGCTTCAAACTGTGGCCTGCAATGAAAACCAAACCAAAAACCCAGTGAGGTTTCTGGAGATCATGAGGGCCTGGAGACAGCTCGGGACTCCGGCTCCTCCCGTACTGCTGGCCTCACGGTGGACCCCACATTTCTGGTGGGCTCCTTTACACACCTGTGTGATCACACACACTTGTGACTGCTTTCTGTGCGCCAAGACGTTGGCTGAGCACATAGAATTCAGTGCTGGCGAACCTATGGCACACGTGCTTCGGCCCGGTGTTTGTTTTCACTGAAAGCTCTAAAAGGTTCACACTGACAGAGGATATATTCCCAGTGATATATACACACGCATCCCCAGATTTTCCAGTGCCCCTCTCTTTTGTAAAATCCCACGTTGGAGTATTTAGTAATAAGGGAAGAAACAAAACATTGCTCGAGCAGCTCTTTGAGATTGCTTACGTTCTAATGACCCTGTGTGCTCACTTCTAGGATTCAGTTGATTTCCTCTCTCTTGATTTGTCTTACGAATGCCAAAGCGAGGCAAGTCTGCCAGAGAAGCTGAGTAAACTGCAGGTAACTGGAGCCCTTTTCTGTATCAGTGACCAACGGTGAATATTCCTGAGAGCATAGTAGACATTTAATAGTTCAGCTGATGCCTGAACTGAGCTTCCACCCAAGTCGGAAGACCTGCCAGTCGCACCTGGGGAGATGTCCGCTGAAAGCGTCCCCAGAGAACATTGGGGTGTTAGTCTTTCCTAGAAAAGGTAACAAGGGTTCGCTTGTTCAGGTAAATATTCACGGCACTGGGGATTGAATCCAGGGCCTTCACGCTTAGCTATCTCCCCAGCCCTTTTTTATTTTTCATTTTGAGACAGGGCCTCACTAAATTGCCTGGGCTCAGTTTGAATCTGCAATTCCCCTACCACAGGATTACAGCAGCACACCTGGCTGATACTAGTTGTTTTTGTGAACATCTTACCTGAACCTGAATTTGCTTGCAACCTGGAACCTGTAGTTTTGGACTCACTGATGAGATGTCCAGGCCTTAGACAGCTTTGTGATGTCTTTGAGGTCTGCTTATGCCTGTGACAACAAATACGTCTTCCGTCCTCCTCAAGGACTTAAACCAGAGTTCGTGGCCAACCTAATGGGTTCAGAGCTGAGGGCATTTTAAAGCCATCTTGGTTATGCAGAGGCAGCGTGCCTCTGAGAGGCAGGCAACAGAAGCCCTGGGAATTTGTATTTGAGGATGTGGTTTCCGGTGCTTCCCTTTTCATTAGAATATCTTTAAGAAGGGCTACTCCTGCCAGTGCCTGGGTAACACTGTGAAACTCTAGTCCATAGCTGCCCTGCCAAATACTGTAGTAAAATTCTTTGTGGACAAACTTAGTAGTCATCTTTTTAAAACTCCTGGTAACAGTTCCTTTTACATTTCCTTTGGTGGGAAATTAATTCCAGATGTTGTCCTTGACAGCTCAGATGCAGCCTCAAAGATTCAGAATGGAGCCCATCATCCTGGTGCTCACCTGTAATTCTAGCACTCTAGGAGGCTGAGGCAGGAGGATTACAAATTTGAGCACAGCTTGGGCAATTTAGCGACTTAGTAATACCCTGCTTCTAAATAAAAAAGCAAAAAAGGAGCTGGGGCTATAGTTCAGTGAGAAGGCCCTGAGCTCAATTCCCAGTACTGAAAAAAAAAAAAAATTCAAGCTAGGCATGATGGTACATACTTATATTCCCAGCACTCAGGAGGCTGAGGCAGAAGGATTGTGAGTTTAAAGCCAGCCTGGGCTATATAGTGAAACCCTGTCTCCAGAAAAAAAAAAAAAAAATCCAAATGGAGCTCGGAGCATAGCTCAGGGTAGGGCATATGCTTTGTATGCATGAGGCCTGGGCGCAGTCCCCAGCACTACCAGACAACAAAAAGTTTCAGAATGACAACCGACAGTGGCGGAGCCTGGGAAGAGACTGCGTGTGGGACCACAGTGACAAGCCTGGTTGCGTTTCCAATACACCGCAGCCACACCCAGGACAGGGGAAGTGGGTTCTCCCTCCCCGAGGAGAAAGGCCGAGTTGCGTCCTCAGGAGCCAAAGCTCACGGCCGACAGCCGCCTCCTCACACCCCTTCGGGCCTCTCACCCCAGGTGCCCTCGCTCCGCCTGGGCAGGAAAGGGGCCCCTGCTGCGGGCCACACAGGGAACAAGGCCATGCGCTGCCCTTTCCCCCACTCTCCCCGGGGCACCTCTGCGCCCCACGCCCATGCCGCAACTCAGCAGCCTCAGCTGCAGCTCACAGGGGCACCCGGGTGTCATGGGGCCCAGCCTCAGGCCCAACGTCTTCATAAAGAGCCACGGCTCAGCCCTGCATTCAACCGCTGCAGCAGGCCGGCCAGGAGCACTGCGTCTGTTTGTTAGAAAAGATTCTGTCTCCCCGGGCTCCCCACTCGCAGCAAGCAGGACAGAGCCTCAGAGGCTCCTCTCCCTCCCCGTCCTGGAAAAGGCCAGTCGGACAGTGAGTGTCGATCTTCCAGGGAGAATTCTGTCCTGGAAGCACGCCACCCCAGTCCTTTGTCCCGGAAACCCCAGCACGGAGACAGGACAAAGGCCACATGGTCACCACCCCACGGAGCCTGTGGTCATGGGCAGCTCAGTGGGCATCTTTTTTGTGTGTTTTTGAGACAGGGTCTTGCTATGCAGTTCAGGATGGCCTTGAGCTCACTTTGTAGCCCAGGCTGGCTTCGAACTTGCAATGATCCTCCTGCCTCAGCCTCCCGAGTGCTGGGATTACAGGTGTGCGCCACCACACCCGGCTTTCAGTGGGCGTCTTGGAGCTTTAGATGTCTCCTCTGCAGAGAAGGGGCGTTTCTCACAGGCAGCTATGAGAAAACACTGCCAGTGCACCTGGGTCCTTTGTAAGTAGTTGCTACTGGTGTCTTTCAGTAGCCTTTAACTGTTCAGAGGAAAAAAGTTCAGTACAGGAAAACTAATGAAACCCCAGCTTCCCAAAAGAGATCATTTAAAGTGAAGTCAAACATGTCATTCTGGAATGTTCCCCTTGACACTGAAGCATCTAGGGGGAAAAATGGGAAAGTGATTACCCCTGCTCCAGTTTTAATGATGAAATGACGGAGGTGGGAAGCGGACATAAAAAGAATTAAGGTGTATTAGGTACATAGGCCAGGTCCCCAGGATGAATATAATCATGCACTGTGAGCATGTGCTGATTAAATGTTTTAAAAAGATGGCAGCTCTTTAGCTTTTTGCCATGGAAAATTTCAAACATCTCTAAAAGTAAGGAGAAAAGTCTAAAGAAGCCCTATGAAGCCATCACCAGTTTCAAGTACTGTTATTTCACCTGTCCTCCCTGGTTCAGACTCCGGATAAGAGCAGCGATGAATGTGTTCCTGACTGACACAGGGCCTGCCTCTAAGAGGTTCCTTGTGTGGCTGAGGCGGTGTCACTTGGGCCGGGCTGGGAGGGTGGCCTGTGTTACTGAGGAGAGCAGTCCCCCTCCTTCAGTCCAGAGGCGGCCGAACCAGTTAACTGAGCCGGCTGGAGGTCACTGCCAGTGCTGCAGTGTTTGCAGCCTCTCACTGGGAAACGAGGTATTATCACAAGATACTTCTAGGTAGCATCAGTTCACTTGCTGGTCTGTATCTTTTTCAGAGCATTGAGCCAAAAGTGCAAGTTTTCATCTTCACTCTAAAACTTCAGGATTGTCCCTCTACCAAGAAGAACCCTCCCGGGCTGCTCCTCAGCCTTTTTGAGGGTGAGTGGACACCAGCAGAGGGGCTGGGAGGGGCTGGCTGTGCACTGACTTGGTGCGCAGCAGACTGGAAAGCAGGGTCTCGGCAGCAGGAGGGAAAGAGGAGGAGGGCTGGGCTGAGAGCCCACCCTAGGTAGCAGGAAGGCCCTGCCTTTCCTGGCAACCAGCTCCCACTGCCCCAAGCAGCAAGGTCTTACAACGGGAAAAAGACCGCCGGGCCTCAGATGTGTGCTGTAAGCATGGAAACATCTCTGCCTGGCTCCCTCCCATTACGTCTCCCTCGAGTTCTGTCATCCCCGCGCGCTCTGCAGGGCTGTCCCCACCCAGAAGCCTTGAGAGCCTCACCTTGCCCTCTGCTCGCCCTTGTTCTGTGTCCCAATTACCTCAGCTTGTGTGTGGACTTGCTGGGCACAGAAGATGCTAAACACCTTTGAATGGAAAACCTGCAGCTCAAGGACCATCTTTTCAGCATCTGGCTCAAGTTCTTGACAGTGAATCTGATAGGCTGTGACTCAAGAAGCTGCTCCTGGTCTGCGTTGGGGAGAGCTGGGGCCTGTTAACACGTGGTCATTGAACACTGGGAAGGAGCACCGGCAGTGCTGGCATCCTGATAGTCAGTCCCGTCACCCCCCCACAGGCCAGCAGATGGGGAAATCGGTGCCCTGCCCACCACCTGCAGCCCCCGGCACTGTATGGCTCCACAGGCCCCGTTAATTCTGTCACCCAAACTAATCTTTGAGAGCGTGAGTTCTGTTCTCAGATGCTGCCCTCTTAGAAATGGTTAAAGTGGTAACTTACATGCATATGTACTTAAACCACAATTTTTTTCAGTACTGAACCCAGGGCTCTCACGTGCTGGGCAAGCACTTTATCACCGAGCCATATCCCCAGAGTCTTGTGAAGTTGCCCAGGTTGTCTTTGAACTTGTGATCCTCCTCCTTCAGTCTCCTGAATAGCTGGGATTATAAAGTGTGAGACACCACGCCCGGCTTAAACCACAATTTACAACAATAGCAACAAGAATCCCACTGCTTTCTGCGTTGGGTTCTTCTCCATCGTTCCCAGGTTTGTGCTTCCAGACCGGCAGCCTGGGATCAGCATCACTTGGAGACAGAGCGCATCTCACAGATCCCACCCAGACGACCTGACGGAGACCCTGGGGTGGTTTTGGCAGGAGGGCTCAAGTCTGTAGGTGATTCCAATTCACCCGGAAGTAGAAGAACCACTGTTTTAGGTCATGAGCAGGTCAGAAGTGTCTGACCTCCTTAAGTCCTTACTGTGGGCTCTTAAAACCATTGCTTAGAGTTTGCATTTTTTTAATGAATGAGGAAAACTGCTAATTTCAGATTCGCATGTTCTTTGTTGAGCTTCATGCAGAGTTAATTACACTACTTCTTTTACAGCCGTAAACAAAGACCAAGTACACATCGTTGGGTTTGATGTCAGTGCGTTCCTGAGCTGTTCAAGTTCCAGGAAAAGGTAATGTTAGACCGCCTGCTGTACTACCAGTAACAGATACGTGGCCTGCGCCGCTGTACTTCACGTGGACGATCTCTTCGGGGCTGTTGTCATCTTCTCCTGGACCAGCAGGCTTATTGTGGTTCTCTGCATGACAGAAGTCGTCCCTCGCTGAGCCTTGGTCTGGGCCCCACAGCCTGGCTTTCCCAGCCCTCGGCTCACCCAGCTGCACGTAATGTGCGTCCTAGTTTAAGATCTTACGATCGCAGAGGCAGAGGATGTGGAAGAGGCCAGGTTAAAAATAGATCTGACCACCACACTGAGCTTTCATGAAGTGAGTTCTTGCCCCTATTTTCTCAGTGTGGAATTTGAAGCTTCCTCACCCAAGACAGGAAAAGCAGCTTTTACATGGCCCTACTGCAGAGGCTTTAACTGATGATGAAGCTGCAAATAATTTCTTATCCATGAGTAAGGTACCAAAGTTTGTAAGTGATACACTGTACTGTGAAAGAAATGGGAGACGATGGGAGGTTAGCCCCGTAATTACACCGCACCTCACATCAGCCGCACAAGCAGGAAAGGGTGGTGTGCAACACGGCACTCAGCGTCCCCAAACCCTCAGGCCTGCGCTGGGTGTGTTTCCAGTGAACTTTGCATGCTCTGCCTTAGGGTAGGACAGGTTAGAGATGCTCAGCTGCAGCTCTTTGTTCACCTCTGACGTTTCATAAACGTCGGTGCCAACACCTCCTCATACCTTTCCTCTGCCGTCAGCTGTCCTGAGCCAAAACCTCCGTCTGTCTTTCCACCCCCTTACTCCCTTCACCTCGCATTTCAGACCAATAACCCCGAGCAGCTGCAGGCTGTCGGCCTCACGCAGGGGGTGCAGACAGGGCGAAGCGGCTCTCTGACTGCACTGCAGTCAGCCAGGGAGTCCGGGCTGCCTTGGGACAGAAAGTGCAATGAGCCACAATAAAATGGGCTCCCTGAGAGGCTGACTGCAGAGGTGAGTACAGAACCCCAGCGGCTCCCGCTCCGAGCTTCTGTCCAGCACCCTGACCTCGGGGTTCTGACCCGGAAGCCAGGGTCCAGCAGTGGGTCCGGCAGGGCCTGGCTCGGGGAGGTGGACAGAGAACCTGCCAGTGCAGCTCCCCCAGAGGTGGGTCCAGAAAGGATGCTGCCCCAGGAACTGTAGGCCTCACAGCTGAGTGAGAGGCCCTCGAGTGATTCTCACTCCAGGTGTGGCCTGCGTCCCTAGGAGGGGGAAAGGGCCCTGTGAGATGGCGTGCGGCTGGCGGCTGCAGGAGGGAAAGGCTGGGGCTTCTCGGTGTAGTAAATCTCTTCCCAAGGTCGTGAGCCCCGGACTCCCCAGTCCAAGACCCACTTCATCCCCACTTCTCTCCCCAAGCCCGAGGACAGAGGCAGGCCCAGGGCCGATGGGTCACGATGTGCCCATGTGTACGGGCACAGGCGCACAGCAAGGCTCAGCACCTTGTGCTCCAGAGTCCTGGGAGCCGTGTAGGTGATTCACGGCCATACTTGCTTCCCCTCCCGCTGGTCTAGAGAACGCAGGAAGCGGCCCCTAAGCAAAGCAGGGTGCAGGTGGAAGGGACCTCCTGTGGGGGCACGGGGGCCCAGGCTTTGCTCCTTAGGAGGGAGCCCTTCTGCAGGTACCTGTCACTCTGTCAGCTCTTGCTCTGGACCTAGCTGGTGTGTTGTCCCCTCTCCATGGTGGCCCTAGGAGGAAGATGCTTTTCTACACAAACACACATGCGTGCGAGCACACACACACACACACACACACACACACACACACACACACGCAACGCGCCTGCGCGCACCCCCGCGCACCCGCTTCCTTCTCCAGACCAACACCCCCACCTCTGCCAGCCTTTACTCAAGGCTGCTCTCTGCTGGGCGCAAATTGCTGTGGGCTTGGTGCCTCCCTCCCCACTCAGCGAGGCACAGCTCATGGTGAAATCAATTTAGGCGATGATAACCAGAATTAAAGGCAAGAAAGAAAGGAATGGGAAAGAGGAAGAGAAGAAGCTAGAGTAAAATAGAAGATACAAGCCACGCATGGCGGTGCATGCCTGTAGTCCCAGCACTTGGGAGGCTGAGGCAGGAAGATTGCAAGAAGTCCTGACTCGGCAACTTACTGAGACCCTGTCCCAAAATAACAGTGCTGGTGATGTAACTCAGTGTGAAGGCTCTGAGTTCAACCCCATTACCATTAGAAACTGCATACAAGGATATCACTGTCAGGAGCTGTTTCATTTCTGATGTATGTGTTAGGTGTAGCACACGCACAAAAGCATAAGCATTTACAAAGGACAGTGATGTGTGGTTAAAAGCATAGGTTCTCTCTCCCACTTGCAAGCTATGTGGTCATCAGGAACCCAGGCTCCGCTCTTGTTTCTTTGCCATCCGCAAAGCTCTGCGCTTGCCCTGATGGACCCTCGAGCTCCAGCCATTGTGTCTTCAGTCCGGCAACATGAAGAAGAAAGGAGATTGTAGCCAGAGTTGCTATTTAGTTGGCAAACATTGTTAGAATGTCCCTGCACCGGCTGGTAAACAGCTACTGGACCCTGAGGCCCAGAAGTTACTCATTTAAATCTCAGTTTTATCCCCATAGGGTAAGTAATTATAGAGTCTATCTCAAAAAGTAGTTGTGAAAATTAAATAAGATAGCCAGAGATATAGCTCAGAGGCACAGTGCCTGCCTGGTAAGCACAAGGTCCTGAGTTCAATTCGTGGTCCCCCCCACACACAATTTTTTCTAATCCAAAGAATTAAATGAGATAATACACTATATTTTTATTGCTCAGGCCAGCACAAAATATAGGCTCAATACATTGAAGTAATTATTATTAGCTATGTTTTATAAACAGTAAAATCTAAGAAGAAAGTACTGCAGCAGAACTGAGGTCCGTATTTAAGGGATGTCTTATTTTCCTCATCACTGAGACACAATACCAGAGCCCACAAATTTTTTTTTGTTGTTGTTTTTGTGGGGGATTTGTTTTGGCTTTTTGAGATAGGGTTTCACTTTGTAGCCCAGACTGGCCTTGAACTCACAGTGATCCTCCTGCCTCAGCCTCCCGAGTGCTGGGATTACAGGTATGCGCCACCACGCCCATCTGGAACCCACAGTTTAAAGTAGGAGAGGTTTACTTTGGCTCACAGTTTGTAGAGGTTTCAGTTCATGGTTCGGAGGCAGGAGGCACGGCAGACAGGGAGCAGAGCGTCAAGGGAGAAGCCAGGACAGGAGGGAGACCAGGCTAACACCCCCGGCCCTCCTCTTCCGGCTAGACCCCACCTAACAGCAGGTCGGCTGTAAGCCCCAGAATGCAGCCACGCCAGAGGTCCCAGCTGTGCTCTCGTGAGCCTTTGGCGTCATCCGATGTAAACCATAATGAGGGATCCCACACGGACAGCCGCGGTGCTGCGGCTGTCCTCACGCGAGAGCAACAAGTACGCGCTCCTCTGGGAAGGGCCAGCGCTCTCCCTCTGCCAGGCACCTGCTGCCTGTGACTGTGGATTTGGTTTTGGCGCAGTGTTTCTGGAATTTTTACGGATTAAATGCATTGAGCCTCTTCAGCACAAGGACATTCGTAACTCAGTCCTTAACTTTTTCCCTTTGTCTCACTTCAATCCCGCAGCGTGTCGTGCTCTGTGACGGACGGCCTGGCCCTTCGGAGTGACCGGCAGCAGGACCACGACACGGCGGGTGGGCCCTTGTCCCCTGCCTCGGCCTATCGGAGGGTCTGGGAAGCCTTTGCTAACCAGTCCAGGGCAGAAAGGGATGCCTTCCTGCAGGACGTCTTCCCTGACGGCTTCCTCTGGGGCGTCTCCACGGGAGCCTTTAATGTGGAAGGAGGCTGGGCTGAGGGTGGCAGAGGGGCCAGCATCTGGGACCGGTACGGACTGAACGCCACCAAGGGCCAAGCGACCGCAGAGGTGGCTAGTGACAGTTACCACAAGCCAGCCTCTGACATCGCCCTGCTTCGCGGGCTCCGGGCTCAGCTGTACAAGTTCTCCATCTCCTGGTCCCGGATCTTCCCCACCGGGTACAGGAGCAGTCCCAGCCCCCAGGGTGTCGCATACTACAACAAGCTGATCGACACCCTGCTGGACTCGCACATCCAGCCCATGGTGACGCTGTTCCACTGGGACCTGCCTCAGGCCCTGCAGGAGCTTGGTGGCTGGCAGAATGAGAGCGTGGTGGATGCCTTTGTGGACTACGCGGCCTTTTGCTTCTCTACTTTTGGGGACCGTGTGAAACTGTGGGTGACCTTCCATGAGCCATGGGTGGTGAGCTACGCAGGCTATGGCACCGGCCAGCACGCACCAGGCATTTCCGACCCAGGAGTGGCCTCTTTTAAGGTATTTCCCACCCTGTAGTCCCTACTAATTGGAGAAAAGACATTTGGCTGGAAGGAGGTCATTTGATGTGTCTCCTCATCCAAAAATGTTTACTGTTTATTTTTTCCTTGAAGGAAGTCAGAGGCAGGAAAATAAGCATACGTCTTTCATCGCCTTATTCTGTCCAGACACTGTGCTAGTGCTTTAAAAATAGTCACTACAGACTCAGAATAGCACTAATGGATGAGGGCGTTGGGGCTCAGAGGAGATAAATAATGTGGTCATGATGCCTTCATATTGGTTTGCCAGTTGGAAGTAGGACTTGAGCCCAAGTCTTCTTGACTCAGAGTAGGCTCCTGGGCTGGGACTGCAGCTTAGTGGTAGAGCACTTGCTTAGTATGTACAAGGCCCTGTGGTCCATCCCCAGCACTGCAAACAAGAAAAAGAGAAAAAGACAACCATGTTACCCAGGATTTCTGGTGGCAAGAGAGAGGAAAAGCAACCTAAACTGACAAAGAGGGAATTTGTCAGTTCAGGAAAAACTGAAAAGTCTTACTTTTAGCTTGGTCAAGGCAGAGCTTGATTAGAGCACAAATACTCTGTCCACACCCAGTTGTGGTCCCCTGTCTTGTTCCCTTTGTTGGCTTTATTCTTGGGAGACCTGGTCACCAGGTGGTAATGGCCCAACTTTAGTATTTCCAGACCAGGAAAGAAAGCTCGCCTCTGCTCCGACATTTCCAGGCAAAGCTTCCTATGTCCCTTGGTCTCTGGGCAGCCACATGCCCACCCCAGAACCCGTGCGGGGTCCCAGCTAGGAGCCTGGTGACTGAGCCTTGGGTCCCGGCTCTGTCCCTGAACACATTGGCTGAGAGGTGGACAGGGGAGAGAAAGGGAGGGATTTGCTTTCCAGATGGCATCAAGGTATCATTTCAGGAGGGATGTGCATGCTGGAGGCGAATTTTTCTTTTTGGATATGGGTCTCATTACACGGCCCAGGCTGGCCTCCAACTCCCAGGCTCAAGTGATTCTTCTCCGTCAGCCTCCTGGGTAGCTGGTACACAGGGCACAGGCACCCCCGTCGTGCCTGGCTTTGGGAACCACGTTTTAGATGGCTTAATATTTGTCTTCCTCAATTTCTCTTTTCCTTCAGAATCTCCCAGAAAACCCAGCAGCTTTCCCTGGCAACATTCTTTGGGGTAGACATAAGGCTTTCCCTGTCACGCTTTGCATTCTGTTCTGAAATCTGAGTGTTCCCTGTGCCCTGTGCTAGGTGTTAAGGAGAGATGCCCGGCCATGTCCTCGACATGGGCCAGATGGAGTTAAACCCGTGTGAAATTAGAGAACAACTCTAGGTGCTCACAGGGAAGGGGACGCGGTGAGGAAGTGAGCTGCCTTCAGCTCCGAAGCACAGGCCTTCAGCAAGCGGCTGCACACAGGCAGGAAAGCCCTTCCACAAGTGGAAGCTTTGACCCTTCCTTCCTATCTCCAAACTGTTTCTTCTTAGGCTTTTATTGTGGATCCTGAGATGTAAGTGTTTCTGCAGAGACTGATGGGTCCAGTACAGTGTTTTGTATTTCTACAAAGACTTGGATGAGGAAGTCCCCTTCCCCTTCACTTGTCTTTCTTTTTTTTGGTGCTATTGGGATTGAATCCAGAGCCTGTGCACCGAGTCACATCCTCAGGTCCACAGTCTGTTTTTGTTTTGACCCAAGGCCTCACGAAGTTGCTGTATTGCCCAGGTTGGCCTTGAACGCGCCATCCTCCTGCCTCATTCTCCCAGAGTGTTGGATTTTTTCCCATCTTCAGTGCTGGGGATCAAACCCAGGGCCTCCTCACATGTGCTAGGCAAGTACTGTACCACTGATCTGTAATCCCTAGCTCCTTAAGTTCTTGTTTTCATTTATTTGTTTACACATTATAATAACATCTTAACTTAGGCTACTATAAAAAGATACAAGGGCTGATCAAAATTATGGTGTGTTTCAATTTTTAAAAATTTTGACAGTAGAAGATACAGTCCCATTAATCCCCCTCAAAATATTCCCTCCCTGCTTCAAACACTCACCCCGTCCTTCTTGCCACTTTCTGAAGCAGTTCTGGAAGTCCTCTTTCACAAGGTCTGTGCAAGGTAGGATCAAAATTGTGGTCACTACTGCTGCTGAGTGCCATCCAACGAAAGACAGGTTTTTTAAAACATTATGGTAAGGCTATACTTCGGGGGATCATGTTTATATTTCATAAAAACATTATGGTGTGTACTTATCTATCTTATTCACCAAATCTTGCACACTCCAACTTCCAGCTCTTCCCCAGTGTCAAAATGTCCATGAAAAGTGAATGTTTTGATTATATTCCCAACATTCAGGCAGCCGTGACAACATAACTAAAGCTATGACAGGAGGCGTCCAGAACTGCTTCGGAAAGTAGAAAAAACAATGAGATAAAGTGTGCTTGAAGTGAGGGGATATTTTGAGGGGGGTTAACGGCAGTGTGTCTTTTACTGTAATAAACTTTTAAGGAGTTTGAACATTCAGCATGTTTTTCAGTCACACCTTGTAAAGTAGATTGTTAGCTTAAACTTTGTTTCTCTCACAGCTCTGTAGGGTGAGCAGGTTCTACAGACAAACTTGTTACAGCGTCCTCATGGTGGACAGACAGAAACAGGAAGGAAGAGAGCGCCTCTGGTGGTGGGATTTACAAGGCCACCCATCTCAACATAAGGGCCCCACCTTTGGGACCTCACCTAAAACTAATCATCTGCCAAAGACCTTGTCTCCAAATACCACTGCACGGGGCCTAGGGCTCCAGCATAACTTTTAGGGAAACACGGTTCAGTCCATAGCAACTGTTTTGCCCTTATGGCATTGTCACCGTGTACCTCAATGTAGTGCTCATTGTTTACTTGACGTGTTATTAACACTTTTTCACATTATTACACAGTCACAGTGGTCTTCGCTTGCTTTCTGTTTTTGGCTTTTTCAGACAAGGTTTTGCTATGTAGTCCAGACTGGACTTGAACTCACTAAGTAGCCCCGGCCGGTCTGGAACTCACAACCATCCTCCTGCCTCAGCCTCCTGAGTGCTGGCATTACAGGCGCGCACCACTACACCAACCTTGTTTCCAAGGGCTACCTGACAGTTCAGCAAGCACCTCGCCTTATAGAGGCTAGTTTAGAGAGGAAGCAGCCCCGTCTTTTGGAAAGCAGCCCAGTGGAGGACAGTATTTAGGATTCCAGAAAAGCCAGAAGCTTTACTTCCTAGGGCAGATTTTGTGTGGAGATTGTCCAGGCTCACAGAGATTTGTCCTTAGGGACAAAGCCAGGACGTAGAGGTAGGCTTGTGAGACTCCAAACTCATTCTCCCTATTGTCCCATGATGCTCCCCCAGAAAGCTGATGACTTTCTTATGTCCATGAGTGAAGTCTACAAAGTTTTCTTTCTAAATATAAGTGAAGGACAAGTACTGTAAGCTGAAAAGAATGAATGCTTTGTGCATTAATTAAAATAATGCCCTGGGGGCTGGGGATTTAGCTCAGTGGCAAAGCGCCTGCCTGGCAAGCGCAAGGTCGTTAGTTCGGTTACCGGTACCGGAGAAAAACCAAAAAAAAAAGACAAAAATAAAAAAAATAAAAATAATGCCCTGTACCCTGGACTGATGGTTCAGGAAGCACTTACTGAGTACAGAGGCAGCATGGGATTGTGGGTGATGAGGACAGCCTGGAGTTGGACTGCTTGGGTTTTAATTCTCATATATCTTCTAACTGCAGTCATGTGGGGTCGTGACACCTCAGTGGACCTTTTCTCTTCATTTATAAAGTGGTAGTAATTGTACTTGTCACATGAAGTTGTTGTAAGAGCTACGTGACAGAATTTATTTGAGCAGGAAGACCCCAATACATCTTAGTTGTTAATGTGGTTGTTGATACACTTACTGTTATATGTGCTGCCGAAGCGAGCACGATACAGTTATTGTTGATGTTGAATTATTAATCTTTTGACTTTATTGACTCTTGTTTTGTTTGTACTGGGGATTGAACATGGGAGAAGGTACATTCCCAGGCCTTTTTATTTTTCATTTTGGGACAGAGTCTTGCTAAGTCACTGAATTGCTCGGGTTGGGCATGGACTTGCAATCCTCCTGCCTCAGCTTCCCAGATTGCTGGGGTCACAAGCATGCAGACCACACCTGGCACTTGTCGTTAATGGTGGTATTGGTAATGTTGACTTCAACATTATGGAGGTTGACTTGCTGACATCCCTATTGATGTCTGAACACATTGGTTTTGGCTTACTGACTTGATGTTCTTATGGGCTTGTTGACACTGGTGTTAGTGTGAAGTTATTACCAACTTGCTGAGATTCGTGGCTCACTGATGTCGCCCGTGACTTGGTCCTGGCGTGGGTGTTAGCTGTTGACGTGCCTGACGCTCATCCTGGGCTTGTTAGTGCTGTTCTTGAGCGCTCCGTTTCCTCCTCACAGGTGGCTCACTTGATCCTCAAGGCTCATGCCCGAGCGTGGCACCACTACCACAGCCACCATCGCCCCCAGCAGCAGGGACGCGTGGGCATCGTGCTGAACTCGGACTGGGCAGAGCCTTTGTCTCCAGAGCAGCCTGAAGACCTGGCAGCCTCTGAGCGCGCCTTGCACTTCATGCTGGGCTGGTTTGCACACCCCATCTTTGTAGACGGAGACTACCCTCCCTCCATGAAGGCCCGGATCCAGCAGCTGAACGAACAGTGCCCCGGCACCGTGGCCCAGCTCCCAGCGTTCACTGGGGCCGAGAAGCAGCTCTTAAAGGGCTCTGCTGACTTTCTGGGTCTGTCTCATTACACTTCCCGCCTCGTCAGGAAGGCCCAAGAGGGTTCCTGTATCCCTAGCTATGATAACATAGGAGGCTTCTCCCAACACGTGGACCCTGCGTGGCCCCAAACCGCATCCCCGTGGATTCGCGTGGTGCCCTGGGGTATAAGAAGGCTGTTGCGATTCGTATCCCTGGAGTACACAAGAGCAAAAGTTCCCATCTACCTGGCTGGGAATGGCATGCCCACAGGGGAAGGTGACAACCTCTTTGACGACTCCTCCAGAGTGACCTATTTCAACAAGTACATCAATGAGGTGCTGAAAGGTGAGCAATCCATGACAGGAGGGGCGAGGTTGCAAATCCCCACAGCTCAGCTTGACCGGACAGAGACAGTTTCCAGGGAAAAGAAGCCAAACAAGCATATCGGTGGGCCCTCCTTCACGCAGGCCATCTCCTTTTCCCAAAGGCTCACATTTTATTTCCAAGTTCTTCTGAGCATGTCTCCTCCCCTACCCTGCCCGTCTGAGGCCTAGCCAGTCAGTAAAACTTATCTTTGAATATATTTTGGTAAAAGTAGTTACTGAGCCAGGCATGGTGGTGCACGCCTGTAATCCCAGCACTCGGGAGGCCGAGGCAGGAGGATTGTTGCCAGTTCGAGACCAGCCTGGGCTACAAGGTGAGCTCAAGGCCAGCCTGAACTGCATAGGAGACCCTGTCTCAAAAAAAAAAAATAGTAGTTACTGAGGGCTGGGGGCATGGCTCAGTGGAAAAGCACTTGCCTAGCATTGCAAGGCCCCAGCACTAAAAATATATTAATATCTACAAAAGTGTGTGTGTGTGTGTGTGTCTGTGTGCACGTGTGTGTGTAATATATACATGTATGAGTGTATGTAAAATATTAATTGTAAAGATAGAAAGTATGCAGTGCCTGTTATGTACCAGACATTATGAAAGACGAGAGGTACAATCCTGAGCAACATCTTCTGTCTACAAGAGGGACCCAGAATCTGAAGCACAGGATGGCAAGGGACACTTAGGGTGGAACTTGGTCCACTGAGTCTTCTCTCCCTGCTCCAGCCCAACTGATTTCTGTGTCTTTTCCTGTCTGTAAAATCTACATTCCAGGGCTGGGAGATAGCGCAGCGGCACAGCGCCTGCCTGGGAAGTGCAAGGTCCTGAGTTCGACCCCAGTACCAAAAAAAAAATCTACATCCCGTGTCATTTATTGTGAGCCAGTTGACCCAACCTACAGGCTCATTCCTCCTAACGTGCCATCTCAGGTCTTTCCATCCAAGCGGAAAAGGATGGCAAATAGGCCCTATGTCCCAAGTCAACTGATAGTGAGCAGCCGGCTGTCTGTGTAGAGGGCCGTGTTGAAGTGTCACAGTTTTATCTGAATTCAGAGAAAAGTGATTAATGATTCCTACCTAGGAATGTCCTAGCCACCTCCCCAGTTTGTGCGGTCAGACACCCTCTACATACTCACATGTACGCTTTTCTCAACACTCATGACAATTCCTAACGTTGCTGGAATTCCTCAGTCTTAAGGGACACTTGAGACGGCCTCCTGAAGGAGGAAGAGGAGCTGTTGTCCTCACAGGACAGCTGCAGGCGGCCTTTGCGGCTGTGCGTCAGTTCTGCACTCTGCCCTCTAAGCTACAGTGATTTTATGCATGTGTCCCCAGAGCCTTGCACTGGCCTGGCACAACACTGGTGCTTACTAACTTATTTACTGAATAAATGAGCGAGTTTACCTACCTCCTTTTTAGGTGGGTGGGAGGTACCGGGGATTAAACCCAGGGCCTTTACACCGAGCTACATCCTCTGCCCTTTGTTTTATATGTTTACATTGATTGACTGACTGATTGGATCTTCTACACTGCTAATTTGCCCCGGTTGGGCTCAAACTTACAGTCCTCCTGACTCAGCCTCTCAGAGCATGGGCATCGCAGGTGTGCGCCATTATGATCTTATGGTCAGTTTGTTGAGGGGTTCCAAAGTCTGGTAAAAAGTAAGTCTTAATGCTTTGCTGGCTCCATGCTGGAGCCCACAGCCATGTCCCTTCTACTTTGGCTCTGCCGGTTGACTCACTAGATTGGTGTTTGACAGGGTAGAGGTAGGGGGCCCTGATTTCCTGAGGCTGCTGTAACACAGTACTCAGACTTGTGACTTAAAACAGCAGCATGTATCATCTCGCAGTTGTGGAGGTAAGAAATCCACGAGCGAGGTGTTGGTCGTTCCCTTCCCTCCAAAGGCTCTAAAGGGGTGGACGAGTTCTTGCTGCCTCTGGATTCTGGTGGCTGCATGCATTCCTTGGCTTGTGACTGCATCACCCTCATCTCTGCCCCTATCTTCACCCGGCCTTTTCCTCTTATGAGGACACCTGTCGGCCGGGCGTGGTGGCCCTTGCCTATACCACCAGCACCCTGCGATGCTGAATCAGGAGGATCACAAGTTCAAGCCTAGTGTGGGCAACCTAGTGTGACTTTGCCTCAAAATTTTTTAAATAATAACTTTAAGAGACTTAAAGGATTGAGTTCCAACCTCTGTGTCCCTTGTCCCCCTATGTTTTATTCATAATAGGATGTAGCTCAGTGCAGAGACCACGGGCTAATGCCCTGTGAGCACCACAAACCGAAGGGGCACTTTTCATTATCTCTAGAGCTCACCTGGTTAATCCAGGATGGTCTATTTGGAGATTATTAATTTAGTTACAACTCCTCACCCCCTACGCTGGGGTTGAACTCAGGGCCTTGGACATGCTGGGCAAGTGCTCTACCAGTGTGCTTTTCCCAAACAAGGTTGTATTCACCAATGCCTGGGGTTTGACAACTCTACTGCGAGGTCACCAACCTACTGCGCCACATTTCTTTAGGCTTTATGTATTCTTAATATGGAAGGTGTCCTCATTTCAACACTGAATGTAAACAGGGAAAAGCAAAATGCATTTAAATGATTAAATGACCTATGCATTCTGTACAAACTGAAGATCCTTATGCTACAGGGTGAGCATGTTCTATTACTCATTGTTTGCTGGGCCGGGAGGGGGAGGGGACACACTTACAATCCCAGCTGTTGGGGAGCCTGAGGCAGAGAACTGAACGTTCAAGGCGAGCCTGGGCATCTTAGTGAGACTGTCTCAAAATAATGACAGGGGGGCGGTACGGCTGTAGCTCAGTGCCCCCTGTGTTCAGTGCCTAGTACTGAAATTAGGGGTGCGCTTCTGGGTTGAGATTTAAGATTTCTGGCCGTAGAAGTGGCTTGATGTTTGGGAGAGGTGTTGTACATTTTCATTTGTTCATTCTAGGGAAGAAAAAGGGTTCAGTTTTGGAGGAAATGAAGTGACCTCCAAAACTTTCATATCACAGGAAAACTTTCTAAAAAATCATCAGGAACACAGACTTTATAATTTTCCAGTAAAAATAATCTTATTTTAAAGTACATAATCTCAGCTAGACGCAGTGGTACATACCTATAGTTCTAGCTACTTGGGAGGCAGAGGAAGGAGGATCACAAGTTCCAGGCCAGCCTAGGCAACTTGGCAAGACCATGTCTCAAAATTAGAAAGGACATCGCTCCGTGCAAGGCCCTGGGTTCAATTGCTAGGACTATGGGGAAAAAGCTCAGTTTTCCTTTCCCCTCACAGCTGTCAAGGAGGACTCCGTGGATGTTCGCTCTTACATTGCTCGGTCCCTCATGGACGGCTTTGAAGGCCCCTCTGGTTACAGCCAGAGATTCGGGCTTCACCATGTGAACTTCGATGACAGCAGCAAGCCAAGGACTCCCAGGAAATCTGCTTACTTTTTCACCAGCATCATTGAAAAGAATGGTTTCCTCACTAAGGTCGTAAAAAGATCGCCACCACCTAGTATAGCAGATTTCCCTTCCAAGATTGGAAGCTTCAATTTCCCATCTGAGGTGCCCTCCAAGGCTAAAGTAGTTTGGGAAAAGTTCTCCAACCAACCCAAGTTTGAGAGAGACCTCTTCTACCACGGCACATTCCGGGATGACTTTCTGTGGGGCGTGTCCTCGTCGGCCTATCAGATCGAAGGGGCTTGGGACGCGGATGGCAAAGGCCCTAGCATTTGGGATAACTTTACACACACACCAGGGAACGAAGTGAAGGACAATGCCACTGGAGACATAGCCTGTGACAGCTATAACAACCTGGATGCGGATCTGAATATGCTTCGAGCTTTGAAGGTGAAGGCCTATCGCTTCTCTATATCCTGGTCTCGGATTTTCCCTGATGGGACAAACAGTTTTATCAACAGGGCTGGTGTTGACTATTACAACAGATTGATTGACGGCCTGGTGGCAAGCGGCATCTTTCCCATGGTGACACTGTTTCACTGGGACTTCCCCCAGGCTCTTCAGGACATTGGAGGCTGGGAAAATCCCGCCTTGATTGAGCTGTTTGACAGCTATGCTGACTTCTGTTTCCAGACCTTTGGGGACAGAGTCAAGTTCTGGATGACCTTTAATGAGCCCGCATACCAGGCATGGTTTGGTTATGGCTCAGGGTCTTTCCCCCCAAACGTGAAGGACGAAGGCTGGGGCCCTTACAAGATCGGTCACGCAGTCCTCAAAGCCCATGCCCGAGTCTACCACACTTACGACGAGAAGTACAGGCAACAGCAGCAGGGCGTCATCTCACTGAACCTCAACACGCACTGGGCAGAGCCCAAGTCCCCGGGCTCGCCGAGGGATGTGGAAGCAGCTGACCGACTGCTGCAGTTCACCTTGGGCTGGTTTGCCCACCCCATTTTCAGAAACGGGGACTATCCCGACGTCATGAAGTGGAAGGTGGGGAACCGGAGTGAGCTGCAGCACCTGGCCACCTCCCGCCTGCCCAGTTTCACCGAGGAGGAGAAGCAGTACGTGAGAGGCACCGCCGACGTCTTCTGCCTCAACACCTACTCGTCCAGACTCGTGCAGCACACAACACCCCTGCTGAACCCACCCGCCTACCAGCATGACCAGGAGCTGACCGAGGAGGAGGACCCCGAGTGGGTTGCCACGGCAATGAACAGGGCTGCGCCCTGGGGGATGCGGAGACTGCTGAACTGGATCAAGGAGGAGTACGGTGACGTCCCCATCTACATCACCGAGAACGGAGTGGGGCTGACGAGTGCGGCGCTGCAGGACACCGACAGGATATTTTACTACAAAACCTACATCAACGAAGCTCTGAAAGGTATGTGACAGTTCAGTTCATCCTACAGAATTCTCCGACGTCCCCTATGTTGGAGAATTTATGATTTTAGGCTGCCTTGAAATCTCTTTTATGCCCTAACTCCATAATTCCCTATCTATTTGGAAGTTTATATATAGTACATCAAGAAGTTGGGAAAAAAAGCATTTTCTCTAAATGTATGAATGTATATACATGAATCCCCAAAAGAATATTTTCATGGGTCATTTATTATTGAGCAAGTACTATGTGACAAGTTCTGTTCTAGGTCCTGGGAATGCTCCAGGGAACGAGACGTACATTTCTGCCCTCATAAAACTTATATTCTTGGGGATTACATGCCTCCCAGAACAAGAAACTCTTCAAATTCACACTCATGCTTAACTTGTATAGTAGGCTCAGGCTTTTGAACTTGAGACACAGCGCTTTACCTTAACAGAAGAATTTGATTTTGCGAAGATCAATTACTAATACTTTCTCGAGGGTCATCAGAGCCAGCAGAAAGTAAGATCGACAAGGTGACCTGTTTGTCTCTCAGGACACGTTCCTCGGTGTATAAGTTGGCGGTTTGGGGCCATTGCCTTGAGTTGAGCAGCCAGCAGCACCTGGGCCTCTTGTAGATCTTGCCTCCTGGGTAAAGCTCTCTCCTCTGCTCCCTTTGGGATTTTCCCAGCCTACAGGCTCGATGGTGTAGACGTTCGAGGGTATTCCGCTTGGTCTCTGATGGACAACTTTGAGTGGCTGCTCGGTTACACAGTCAAGTTTGGTCTGTACCATGTTGACTTTGAGGATGCGAACAGGCCACGCACAGCGAGAGCCTCGGCCAGCTACTACACAGAGGTCATTACCAACAACGGCATGCCGATGCCCAAGGAGGATGAGTTCCTGTACGGAGAGTTCCCCGAGGGCTTCGTCTGGAGTGCAGCTTCTGCTTCTTATCAGGTGAGACATTCGGGCCATTCAACACCACTTACTGCATGCCTGCCTGCCTACCGTGCACCAGGCTCTGGGCTGGGCGCTAGGGAGGGGAGGACAGGTGTGTGAGCAGGGACTCCAGCAGAGCATAGGGAACCAGTGCAGGTACACTGCATTCGGGGGCGTCTCTTCCTGGACATTCCTGCTTCTTTACACCCTTACATCCGGTAGAACAGCACAGTTAGGCATCTGCAGATGGAGCATGGGTAGCTTGGGCAGAAACACCTGGGCAGAGACGTGCAAATGTCTAGCATCTCTGTGGATGCATTCATTCCTCACCTAGTCCTCCCAAGCAGGCAGTTTACAGACATTTATTAGCTGAGAGTGACCCACATGTGGTGGCACCTGTAATCCCAGCACTCTGGGAGCCCAAGGCGAAAGGGTCACAGGTTCAAGCCCAGCCTGGACAGTCTCTTGACTGAGCACTTGACTTACCTCAAAATAAAAAATAAAAGAACTGGGGATATAGTTTAGTGCAGACTGGATTCAGTCCTTGGTACTGGAAAAAAAGTTAAAGCAAGCAAACGGAAAAACTGTTCATGTGTCCTGGCCAGCAGACTCAAGAAAATCCCAGCTCTTGGTCCTTCTAGCTGCGCTGGCCAATACCACACATGGAAGATTCCTTTGAGGCAGACGGCAAGATTTCAAAGGCTGGACCCTGTTATATGTCAGCCAGATTGTGTCTTCTGTAGTAGGATTTCTCAGTCTGGGCCTGATTGACATTTTGGATGGATAAGTCCTTGTCCTGTGACTACAGGATGTTTATGAGCATCTGTAGCTTCTACCGCTAGACCCCAGATACACCTATAGATCACTCCCCCTTTGGGGACAATCAGAAATGTCTCCAGGCATTGCCAACTGCTCCCTCTGGGAAGAATGACTCCCACATGAGAACCATTGCTCCAGAGGTTCACAGCTGACCATAGGAAGAATTAGGGATTTCTTCTAGACCTTGTTCAATTCATGAAACCCTGACCATGCAAAGGCAAGCCGGGCCTTGAGAATATTTTAGCCAACTCACACGGTGAATTTTTCTATTCAGTCAGGCATATAATCCTCACCACCTGTGACACTGAATATCCTCCATAGCAAAGTGTAGAGTATGAGTTAAGCATGGAAGAGCCAGGTGTAAGTGGCATACACATGTAATCCTAGATACTCAGGAGGCTGAGGCATGAGGATCGAAAGTTCAAGGCCAGCCAGGCAACTTAGCAAGACTCTGTCTCAAAATTTTAAAAAGGGCGGAAGATGTAACTCACTGGTAGGGCACCCCTGAGTTGGGTCCCTAGTACCACAAAAAGGGGACAAATGTGGGGTACATGCCTGCATTTGGGATGCTGAGATAGCATTGGAAGTTGAAGGCCAGCCTGGGGTACACAGTGAGACTCTCTCAAAAACAGAACAAAACAACAGACCAGGATGAGAAGTGCTTACGGTGTGCAGTCCCTGACTAGAATGCTAGTTGACCCCCTTGGAACAAGGGAGGTTTCTGCCTTTCTCTAATGAGCCCTGGCTTTCTTTAGTGGTGAATAGCATTTAGAAGCCGTGATCTAGACACGGGGTGTGCTCTGCTTCCAGGGCAGTATTACTGTACTTACAGGCCCTTTGGGGGACAGAGCTAGGAAATACGTGTATATACACGTTTGTGTATATTTTTACATCCATCCATCTCTTGGTATATTTAAAACCATGACTTCATACCTCCAATACCAATCCAACTTCATAGGATTAATGCGAACCTTCTCATTTGCCTGAGTTTTTTTGTTTGTTTGGTTGGTTTGGGTTTTTTTATTTTTTTTTATTTTTTTTTTTTTTTGAGACAGGGTCTTGCTATGTAGTTCAGGCTGGCCTCAAACTCATGGCAATCTGCCTGCCTCAGCCTCCCAAGTGCTGGGATTATAGGTGTGCCACCATGCCCAGCTCCATTTTCCATATTTGTATCTCCTTTTTCCAGTGGTGAGAATCTGGCTTCTACCATCCTCAGTGCAGTCTGTTTGTTCAACCTTCCAGCCTTCCCTAATCTCTCTACACAGACAGCTCACTTGCCGGGTGCTCCTGCTGGCGCTGGACCCTGCCTCTCACCACCAAGCTTGGACATCATTCTTGGCTAGAACGCTGGCGCTAGCTTAGATGTGTCCAGTCTCATATCATTCCATTTTTTAAAAAATTTTTTGCATATATATATATATTTTTTGGTACCGGGAATCGAACTCAAGACCTTGTGCTTGCCAGGCAGGCGCTGCGCCACTGAGCTACATGCCTGGCCTGCTAGTACACATTTGCAGTACATAATGACTGCACTCATCAGTGGGAGCTGGTACGTGTACGTCACACCTCTTAATGCTTTTTTCACCCTTCCCCTCCTTCCATATCACTGAAGTGTTTGAAAGCAAATTACAGAAATTGTACCTATCAGACGACCTAAATGTGTAGATAAGTATTTTCCCAGTGGCTGTAGTCATTTTATCCGTAGGTAGTGGGAGGGAACGGGGTGTGAAGGGAATCGGTGACATTTGTCCTGATTGGACATTCTGCCTCCACACCTGGCATCTTTACAGGGTGGCTGTGGCTAGCGGGGGCAGCAGGCGTGAGACTTTTCAGACCCTTAGTAAGCACTGTTCACTGCTGGGGCAAAGTGAAAGATGCACTGCCTGGACCCCCAGGCCTGTGGGCAGCCCGTCGCTACAGCCCAACAGCATAGTATCGTGGGATGGTGCTGCTCGGGTACGGAAAGTGGGCGGGAAGCCGTGGGAAACCAGAGGAGGCTCCTGGCGGAGATGCTGCTGAGGAAAGTCCTGACTGGGGCTGTGCCCTGGGACGGAAAGGACCCGGGGTTTGGCCGAATGACTGCATCAGACCATGTTTTGTCCTTTTGAGATCGAGGGTGCATGGCGAGCAGATGGCAAAGGACTTAGCATTTGGGACACGTATGCTCACACGCCCCTGAGGATTGGAAACAACGACACTGGAGACGTGGCCTGCGACAGTTACCACAGGATTGCTGAGGACGTGGCTGCCCTGCAGAACCTGGGTGTACCCTACTACCGCTTTTCCATCTCCTGGACCCGCATCCTCCCTGACGGAACCACCGCGTACATCAACGAGCCGGGCCTGAACTACTACGAGCGGCTCATCGATGCGCTGCTGGCTGCCAACATCAAGCCCCAGGTGAGGGCGCCTGGCCGGTGAGGCCCACTCTCAGGCTGAGCGGCTGGCACGCGGATGCCAGCGCCTCCCACGGGAAGCCACTGACAGAACTGCTGGTCTGCATCTCTCACAGGTGACGCTGTACCACTGGGACCTACCTCAGGCACTCCAGGACGTCGGAGGCTGGGAGAACGAGACCATCGTGCAGCGGTTTAAGGAGTACGCAGACGTGCTCTTCCGGAGGCTGGGAGACAAAGTGAAGTTCTGGATCACACTGAACGAGCCCTTTGTCATTGCTTACCAAGGGTACGGCGCCGGGGTGTCAGCTCCAGGTAAGCTCTCCGGGCCTGACTTGTTATGAAGACTGAAAGCCAGGTGGCGTGGGAGGAGGCGGCCCAGAAAGCCCCACAGCAGCACCTCAGGAACCCCACTTCTCGCTCAAGGCTGCAGGGATTTTCCTTCTGACACACGTGCTACACACGGATCTCATATCTTAGCACCTCGGGGTGACTTGATTTCTTTCTCTGTGACTCTGATTCGCCTCAGGTGGGAAGCACGGCAAGAATAGGGATGTGGGCAGGTAGACGTAGGAGAGGACAGTTTGTCAGGCTGTTCGGGTCCACAGCCTGCTTTCCGTCCTTCCAGTATTCTAAAGTTCCCGTCGCTGGTGTGCCTGACCTGACCCGCCTGGTAACGTGAACCTGACTCACCCACCGAGCGGGAGCATTCGCGGGTCCTGCTGCATGTGCTTCCCGAGCAGAGCTGTCCTGAGCCCTGCTGGGGCGACACACGATACTTATGCAGTTCGTTACTTTTCTAAAACACAAAGATATGTATTTTTCATCAGGATTTTGACTAAGGGACTATGGACCTATCTTTGCTCCTTGAGAGCCCTCGGCTTCCCTTTCCTCTGTTTCTAAGCCATGAGCTTGGTAAATTTGTGTCCATTTGCATGGTGATTCCCTGGGACCAGGTGTGAGAGCTGAAAAGAGGCCTCAGACCGTCACGAGTGGTGTCCCTCTCTGGGCCTCGGCAGCACTGCTTTGCGCGGCCTCTCCCGCAGGGTGTGCTCTCCGCGAGTCTCCACCTCAGCTGCTGCTTCAGCTAGAGATGGTCTCCAAGCCGAGACACACATTGTAGACATTTTGCCTGAGACACAGGCGCCCTTCTTTTGGAGGAGGGGACAGAAGCCAACATTACCCAAGTGTCTTCTCTCCGCCAGACACTATTTAATTTCAATTCTTTTTTAAAATGTTGGCTGGGTGTGGTGGCCCATGCATGTAATCCCAGCACTGAGGAGGCTGAGGCAGGAGGATCACCGTGAATTTGAAGCCAGCCTGGGCTACATAGTGAGTTCAAGACTAGTATGAACTACAAAGCAAAGGCCTGTCTCAAAAAAACAAAACCAAAACCAAAAATGTCTTCTTAGCACATTTGCAGCTCATGATTACATCCCTCATGGGGACTTGCTACCTGTACATAACATTCTTGTACGTACATTTTCATTCTACCCGTACATACATTTTCATTCTTTTTATTTCCCTTGTCCCTCCCGTTTCCTTCTCACAAGCACTCTCTGCTGTCCATTCTAACATAAGAAAAAAAAGCCAAAAGGCTGCTCTGCCTGACCAAAGGGAGACAGCCATCTAGGGAGAGGTAGCGATCAAGGGTTTGAATTCCAGTTTCCCAGACACTAAAATCTTTCACCCGGAGGGGACATCTGTATGCAGGAAACCAGCACTCTCAGCCACATTCATTCTGTGGGCACCCACGCATTTGCAGGAATTTCCTTCAGGCCTGGAACTGCGCCCTACAATGCGGGCCACAACCTAATAAAGGCTCACGCCGAGGCCTGGCATCTGTACAATGATACGTACCGTGCCAGTCAAGGTGGCGTCATTTCCATCACCATCAACAGTGACTGGGCCGAGCCCAGGGACCCGTCCAACCAGGAGGATGTGGAAGCAGCTAGGAGATATGTTCAGGTACGTTTTTCTCTTAGACTTTTTTATTCCTGTCACGGTCTAACGAAAACAGACTTGATTCGGGGTGTGGGCTCTGCTTTGCTATAACTTGGTTTTGTGAGCATGGAACCACGTAACTTTTTGTTCCTTAGTCATTTCCGCTGTGAACCGGAGATGTCTCACCCACCTCATAGCTGTACTGTAATAAAAGTGAGGAATTTTTAAGCATTAGACTTTAATTATTGGAAATTTTATGCACACATAGTTCTTACTGGATGTAACACGTTGGATGATAACTACAAAAAGAAATCCCGTCTCTCCAGTCCCTGCTTTGACTCACAGAGCCGGGCTGCACACTTCAACCCTACACGTCCCCGTTTCATTTTGTTTGCTCCAGCTCAAGAATTTTTGAATTGGGTAATTTAGATTCGGTGAACTTGGTGTTGCATCTAATTTGTTAATTCCCTGAGTTTGAAATAGGACATCTTTTGGTTATAGAATTTCATCCCTAGGACTAGACACACGAGTAGAAAGCAGGTATTGATATGGCCCAGCTACATGTGTTTCAGTCTGGAATCCTGACAAGACGGGGAGGAATGACCTTCATTCTTGGAGGGATACCAAAGACCCTGGTTTGCCAAAGTCTTTGCAAGAGAGCTTGACAAAGGTGGTCAAATGAACAAGCGCATTCCTCATTTCACACAGTTGGTCAATTAGAACAGTAGTCAAACTCCACAGCGCAGGAAATGTTAGGCTTGCGAGATCATTAGATTACGCCGTTCACCGGGGAGCTGTGATGCTGTGGCCCGAGAGGATGACAGACGTATCTGTTTCCACAGAAAGATCTGGCTTATTGCCTCAGAGTACATTTAAGTTGTAGATGGGAAGGGGGCCAAGGGATGGAGGCAAGAGGAGAGTAAAGTGGGAGGGATTCCGGTGTGCTGTGCGCATGCACCGGCTCCCTACCAGGAGCATACAGGTACTCCCCCAACCTCATCTGACTGCGCGGAAGGCGGTCCCGTCCCCCCACTGGCACTTCAGGCATCAGCCAGCAGGTGAGGGAGGGATGTGGAGACCAGAACAGCCTCTCAAGCCCTCCAGCATTATGTATCTGGGTGTCTGCACCCCCTTCGGTAGGGATGTCCTAGACACACAAAAGCGAAAAGGCCCCTGGGATATAGCTCAGTGTAGAGTACATGCTACCTCACCAACCCCCAGCACCGAAAGCCAAACAAGCAAAAAGCTGAATAGTGAATAGTGCTTCTGCTTTAGGGCTTTGAGCCTAATGCTTATGCAGCCACCTGAGCAGCCAGGAAAGCCACGCCACGCAGGCCTTCCCCAGTGTTCTGGTTGGTCCTCAGGTACTTTGGGGAGGAAGGACCAGGGTGTAAGTCCAGCTGCTCGGCGGTGGGAGGGAACAGGGCCTGTAGGTCTCTGGCGGCCGTTCGTCTTCTGTCCAGCCTTCCTAAAGGCAGCGGAGTGCCAGGGCCAGTGGTCCTTCAGTTCCTCGCATCGAGCGCCGCTGAGAAATGGCCCTGCCCGAGGGGCGGCTGTGCGTGCCGCGGAGCCACACACAGGCGGGGAGGCCTGCGGGCACTGAGGCTGCACCCTGCAAACAGCCGCCAGGGGGAGCACAGACGTCAGGGGCGGGCGGGGCGTGCCTGCTGTCTCCGACTCGGTGTGCCCACCGGGGGCCGCGGCTGATGTCCTCCGCTCCCTGCAGTTCATGGGAGGCTGGTTTGCGCATCCTATCTTCAAGAATGGAGATTACTCTGAGGTGATGAAGACGCGGATCCGTGACAGGAGCTTGGCTGCGGGCCTGAACAAGTCTCGGTGAGGTCCTGTGCCACGCGGCGGGCACGCGGGGGCGGGGGCGGGGGCGGATCTGACGAGCAGCCGGCCTCTGAGCTCGGCTTGCTGGGCGGGTTGCACGTGACGGTGCATGGGAGCCTCTTAGCCCAGAACCCGGCACTGCGACGGGCGGGGCGTGGCTGCTGGGATTGTTGCACTTCAGAAGAGCCGGGCTCCGTCCCAAGGGCAACCTCTTCCAACCCTGCTGCGGCGCTGCCCTGACACCGGATTGCTCCTGGGAGGTGCTACAAGTGCCCAAAGCAATGAGCACCAAACACACTGGGCTGGAAGGGCTCGTGCGTCACGCAGCCACGGACACCGCAAGCTGCAGCTGGCGTCACGAGGACCAAATGAGAGTTGGGACAAATCCTGTAACAAAATGCATAGGGCACCGAATGTGACAAATTTCGAAGCAGCTGAGTAGGACGGCGTGGCTGCACGAATTCCCCAGCTGTCCTGTCCTTCCCTCACTTCCTCGGGGGTGACAGCCGGATACGTGCATTCTGTCATTTGGTCAGCAGGTGGCGATGGTCTACACCCGCTGTCCCTCATTCCTGGCTTGCTCCACATAGCCGCATCAAGGGCCGCTCATCACTTCTTTCTGCAATCTCCTCCTTGGCTTTTGGTTTCTGTTTAGATATGAGTAAGCTGAGGCACAAAGATTAGGGCAAGACCACCTGGCAAGCGCGCTGACGTGCCTCCAGGGCCACAGTCCGGGGCAAAGCTCCGCCCGCTGGCGTTAGAGGCGAGGAGTGCGCAGGGGCACACAGCGAAGGCAGCCCCTGCCGTGGGGAACCTGGCGCTCCTGTTTCGCCCTTAAACTCCTCCATAAAGCCCAGGTGTGAAGGTTTAAAGCTCCGGTTCCCAGCTCCCAACACAGCCTTGGCCCGTTTAGGACAAATCTTGCTGGGCAGGCTGTACCTAAAGGTGTAACACGCCGCCCCTGTGAGAACGCTGGCCCATCTGCACCCCGCTTGGCACCTATGGTGCGCGTGACTCAGTCCGGCGGGTAGCGAGAGGGTCCCAGTCTGACTCCTCCAAATGCTGGAAGGCTGCTGGGAGTGTGGCCTGGAACGCTGTTCCCAACTTCCGCAGCGCGCTCAGCTCAGACAGGCCTGGGGCGGGGCAGACTTCACGCACAAGCCAGGACGCCCGCTGAGCGGGCCGTGACAGTGACCGGCACTTGGGAGAGCAGACGCCACTCCATCCAAGGGCCAGGAAAGAGCCCCAGAGGAAGGAGGAGGGCCGTGTGCTGGGGACGTGGGGGCGGGCCTCTGCGGCCCTGCCCACTGACAGCAAAATGATTAAGCCCCAGTCCAGGTAAAGCGGCCCTCCTTAGGTAGGCAGTGCGTCCTGACGTCTCCCGTCAAAGGCCATATACACAGGCCTCCTTATCTAAAGCTGAAAGGCCTCTATCTGGAAGCTGGAGGAAACGATCTTGTCAAATTGCAGCTATAAGGGCTGGGGATTTAGCTCAGCGGCAAAGCGCCTGCCTGGCAAGCGCAAGGTCGTGAGTTCGGTTCCCGGTACCAGAGAAAAACCAAAAAAACCAAAACAAATTGCAACTATAAACAAGTAACTTTAAACACAATATAAGTGTTCCTCCATCAACATCTCCATCTACAAGGTGATACAGGGCCCAGGAAAAGATGTTCTTTAATCACATTGGCTGCCTCACCCTCCGTCCACATCCTCAAACCCTTAGAAAAACTCCAATCTCCGGGCTAGGCGAGGTGGCGCACACCTGTAATCCCAGCGCTGGGAGGCTGAGGCAGGACTGATTGTCAAGAGTCCAGTCTGGACTACCTAGTGAGTTCAAAACTAGCCTGAACTACATAGTGAGACCCTGTCTCAAAAAAAAACCAAAAATACTTTCAGTGTCTCACCCTAACGGTGTGACTGGAAACTTCCTAGCATCCCCTTGACAGCATCCCCTGGCCAGAATAAACTGTTCAGTGGATTCTCTACCACCCGTATCACCTGCTGTCCGAGCACTGCAGCCGCGGCGCCCGAGGCCCCAGGCAGCCACTGCTGCACCCTGAGCAGGAGAGCGAGGGCGAGGCTGGGCTTCCAGCGCCAACGTTTTAGAAACTCCTGGAAGGGATGTTCTGCTCCCGTGGGTTGATGGTACAGAAAAGGTCAAGGGAAGACCTCCACCAGGAGCCTGCGCAGAGCATTATCAGGCAACACCCAAGCCAGAAGCACCAGGGAGCCGTTAGCAGTTGTGCACCTGGGATTTGGCAGAAAGGAAGGTGTGCTTGCTGCACACAAGCGCACGTTCGTCGGGTTTTACAGAAAAGTCACCTCAATACATGGCAAATGCCCATCTATACATTTCAGTGAAGGGCTGAGGATTTAGCTCAGCAGCACAGCGCCTGCCTGGCAAGCGCAAGGTCGTGAGTTCGATTCCTGGTACCAGAAAAAAACAAAAACAAACAAACAAAACATTTCAGTGAAATCATGAGTGGGAAAGTTTAAATACTTAAGAGGCAAAAAAACTTCTCCCTATTAAAAAGATAAACAGCCAGGTGTGATGGTGCACACCTGTCACCCCAGCACTTGGGAGGCTGAGGCAGGACTGCTGCTGTGAGAGGCCAGCCTGAACTGCATTGTGAAACCCTGTCTCAGGAAAAAAAAGACACAAAAAAGGATGAACTCTGGAGGAAAGGGGCCACCTGGACAACCAACCCCCACAGAAACAGACAAACTTAGGAAGGGCAGAATGGGGAAATACAAATTGTAAAAAAGAAGTCATCTCAAGGTATGTACCTCAGACACCCTCCTGGTTTCGAAATCTATCGTAAATGGTAAAGAGCAGAATTTACGTGCGAATGTTTGCAGAAAGCAGAAACTGTGTGAGGGGTGGGGTGGGCGGCTGGGTTAAAGGTTTGCATTTTGCCAGCCAGAGGCACTCTCTCGGGACAGCGGGAAGGAGGCTGTGCAGGCAGGAGGACTCGGGCTCCCCGCGTCCTGGAGGGGCTCTCTCCCCCGCTGCCTCCTGCCCCCGGCCCAGGGCATCCTTGCCTCGAAGGGTGGCACTTCCGGAGGCCCTCACCCTCGCTGGCTCCTTCCGCCCAGGCTCCCGGAGTTCACAGAGAGTGAGAAGAGGAGGATCAACGGCACCTACGACTACTTTGGGTTCAATCACTACACCACAGTCCTGGCCTACAACCTCAACTTTCCCTCTGCCATCTCTTCCTTCGATGCGGACAGGTCAGTCTGCCCGCGGGGTGCCGCAGCAGTCCTGAGCGCGGAAAGCCTCGGCAGGGGCCTGCTGACCGCACACACCGGTCCTGAGAGCCCGCCGCCCTCCCCTGTAGGCGGACCTTCCCGGGCACTGCCACAGAGTGGACTGCCTGCGTCTTTGAGAAACTTGCATACGGCAGCTCGGGAGACGCGGGTGCAGGCGTGTGCGGGGAGGCGGCGCTGCTGACCTCAGGGAGCACAGGGATCCCGCCAGGGGGAGGCGGCGTGCGCGAGGCCGCTCCTCTGCACGGGTGCAAAGCTCCCCACGGACAGAGGGCCGCCGAAAGTCACGTCGCACCGAGGGGGCGACCAGCACGAGCCAAGAGGTTTTAGCTCACTGATTCTTCCGGATTTAGGATGACCCTGAAGTCTAGATGAAGCCTAAGTGTCCTGCTACTGTAAACCTGCTTTGTATTTCCTGTAAAGAACCTTGTGAGACCTACAGAACAGGGCCTAATCTTCGGGTTTTGAATTCGCAGGGGAGTTGCGTCCATTACAGATCGCACTTGGCCCGACTCTGGCTCCTTCTGGCTGAAGGTGACACCTTTCGGCTTCAGGAGAATCCTGAACTGGTTGAAGGAGGAGTACAACAACCCTCCCATCTATGTCACGGAGAATGGAGTGTCCAAGCGGGGGGACGTCGAACTGAACGACACTGCGAGGATTTACTATCTCCGCAGTTACATCAACGAGGCTCTCAAAGGTACGACACGCCAGGCTTTCTCCATGGGCCACCACGGGAAACCGCCAGTGTCCGCGGAGGCAGCACTGCCCCGCACGACCCTCTAGATCGGTATTCAGCGGCCCCGTGCGGGCTGCCAGACCTTGGTCCCTGGCCCGAGTCGTCTGCCCTCCTTGGCCGTCCCTGGCGTCTAAAGAGCAGGGTCTTTTGGAGGCCAGTCCAGCGAGGCTGGGCGGTGGTCTAGGGCCTGTGCTGCAGGCGAACACTGGACACCCAGCGCTACCCGAGTAACGTGGGTGGGACTGAGAGTAAGAGGACACCAAGTGACGCTGAGCCAGCCACTCCAGCCAAGGAAATGGTCAGGGTCCCCTACGGTGTCTATAACGAGGAGAGTCCCTGCTCTAAGGCTCCACCCAGCCCACACCCTGTTCCACAGGGGCAGTAGCAGCTGGTGAGGGATTAGCTCTGAGGGATTAGCTCGGGCAGCCTACCGTCAGGACGCCCACTCAAGGCTGAGCCTGTCTAGAAAGATCTGGAAGCGCTGCAGCTCTTCCACAGAGCCCGCCAGCAACCGTGAAAAGGGAGGGCTGCCCCCACACACCGGCTGTGTAAGTCGGGCGCTCGGGAGAGCTGGGGGCAGCCTGGCTGCAGGAGACCCCGCGGCAAGGCGTCCTGAGCGAGGGAGCTCACACTCTGGCCCGTGGGTAGCTGTGCAGGATAACGTGGACCTCCGCGGATACACGGTTTGGACTGTGATGGACAACTTCGAGTGGGCCACGGGCTTCGCAGAGAGGTTTGGCCTGCACTATGTGAACCGAACAGACCCTTCTCTGCCAAGAATCCCTAAGGCATCAGCCAGGTTCTACGCCTCCATAGTCCGGTGCAACGGCTTCCCTGACCCAGCAGCAGGGCCTCACCCTTGTCTGCAGCAGCCCGAAGGTAAGGGGCTCTGGAAGGGACCAAACCGAAGGCTGAAGGGACAAAGGGAGGGTCCTTTTCAGTGTCTAGTTTACTACCTTCCTGTCTCTCCACTCCCTTCACATATTCAACCAAGCTTTTCTGAGTGCTCCGGGCATCCTTGGGATGAAAGGATGGACACTTAAGCCAGGCAGGCTGATGTACACTCTGGGAGGCTGAAGCAGGAACATCGCAAGTTCAAGCCCAGCCTAGGCAATTTAGTGACTTAATGAGACCCTACAGGATTTTTGTTTGAAAATAAAAAATGAAAATAGGCTGGAGATGTAACTCAGTGTGAAGGCCCAGGGTCCAGTTGCCAGTACCACGTGAAGAAATAAAAAGGACACTTAGGGATGGTGGAACCTTAAGGTAGGAATGACGTCTACGTGATTCTTCTAGCCCTACCACAACTTGCTGTGCCACCCCAGGCAAGAAACTAGACCGGTGCGTGTAGGCATTATGAGAACCAATGAATGTGAAAGCAGTCCTTGCAGAGCGGTACCAGTGTTTGCTGAGTCCAAGTGTAAGTTATGCAAATACTAGACATCCACTTTAGTTTATATTCTAATTGCTGATGGAGGCTGAAAATGTAACAGTACCTAACGTGCTTCAGAGTTTCGTAACGCTCGGTGAAGGGCGTCAGGCACATTCACAGCAGCACCGATGGCTCTGGCTACGCAGGTTTGGGCGATCATGGTCTCTCACTTGCAGGGATCCAGCTCAGCCTCTCCAGGGTGGCAGACCTAGCAACTATGTAGCTCAGCACCGGAGTACAAACCGCCCTCTGTTGTCTTCTCGTAGGCGCCGAACCCACCAGCAGCCCCATGAGAGAGGACGTGCCGTTCCTGGGGCTGATGCTCGGCGCCGCAGAAGCACAGACGGCTTTGTATGTGCTCTTCGCTCTCATGCTTCTCGGAGTCTGTGCTTTGGCATTTCTACTGTACAAATACTGCAGGCTCTCCAAGCAAAGGAAAACACAAGCAAGCCAACAGGAACTGAGCCGTGTTTCTTCATTCTGACCGGTCCCCGCCTCCCCCAGTTCTGCAAGCAAGCCGACTTAGGGTTGCGCATTCTGCCCGTCCTGGACTGCTCCGCTGAGGCTTCTCACTGTTAAGGGATGACTTCAATCTAGAAGGGTTTGAGTTCTTGATTACAATGGGAATAATCTGCGTCTTGCTACACTCCTGGGAGTTCATCTGGGGATCCGAGGAGCCTGCAGGTGACTTGTGGAAATGTGGAGATACTGAACTTGTCTGTTAGGTTTCAGAGTTTTTAAAGATGGAGGTATGAATAAAAACTAGGAATCTCTGATAGGAAATCAACTCCACTGTGTAGATGGAGTGCAACGCCATCCCCCGCCGTGTCTCCTCTCCCCTAGCCTCATACTTCTGTGGTGCTCAGAAAATAAACACAGTACTACGCATTGTGTCCGGTCTCCTACTCCCTTGAGAAAGTAGGTTCAACAGAAGTTATGGCAGCGTACAGATTACTTCAGCGCCTACTAACTTTCCTGAACTAGACAAAGGTTTTTTGCTGTTTTCCCCGGAGCAGATACTAGAACCGGTCACGGGAGGGCTCTGACGCTTCTCCCTGCTCACCTCCACCCGCCCACCACATTCTGTGCTGACTGGCTCTCCTGCCTACCGACAATGTGTAAGGCCCTAAGCCAGGCTGCGAAGGCCCAGGTTAAGTGACCTTTGTTCATTTAACCTGTTTCCCTCCTCCATCAACCGGTCACAGCTCTGAACCGCACACAGGTTGTGGAATAGCTCGTTTGTCTTCCTATCTGCAAACAGTATTCCTTCTACCTAGGATGTCTTGTCTTCTGAAAATGCCTTCAAGTCTTTGCTCAAATAATGGATTCTTCCTCTGGATGGCGTCTCTGAACTGCCCAGGCAGCTCTTCCTTCCCCTACTTTGCTTATAAATGTCCCTCATGATACTGAAATTGTGCTTTTCTCTGCTGCTTTTTTTTTTTTTTTAAATGGTACCAAGAACTGATCAGAGAGCCTCTGCACTGAGCTACATTCCCAGCCCTTTTAATTTTTTACTTTGAGACAGGGTCTCATTAAGTTGCTGCTGGGCTCAAACTTGGAGATCCTCTTGCCTCAGCTTCCCAAGTGCTGGGATTATGGGCATGCGCCACCATAGCTGGCCTTGCTGCCAGCTTCTCGAGGCCAAAGACCATGTCTTTTAGGCAAGTACATTATGAAAACAGCAATGGAAAGCACCCTCGTGTTTATCCATTCATGAAACATCTACCCACAGCAGTGGTAGGAGTACAGAAAGATGCGGTCTTTGTCACCTCCCCCGAATGTGCTGAGGTAATAGGTGTGAAACTTGAGGTTTAAAACACTTAAAAAACAAAGATTTAAAATACTTAGCCCATATATTCTAGGTAGCTTACTAAATGCTGTGTTGAAAATAAAAAAGTAGGGGCAGAAGGATGTAGTTCATATGCAAGCTACAAATCTAATCCCTAGTTATACATACACTGATTTTTGGCTGGAATTTTTTTTTTTTTTTTTTTTTTTTTTTTTTTTTTTTTTTTCTGGTACCAGGAATCAAACTCACGACCTTGCACTTGCCAGGCAGGTGCTGTGCCACTGAGCTAAATCCCCAGCCCCCTGGCTGAATTTAAGAGTAACATGCTTGAAACTGTTTGCTGTATTTCTTACCTGAATTGTCTATAAGAAAGTCCTACCAAATGTTTCACTGCCCTGAATCCCAACCTGGTAGTCAGGGTGGTATATTTATCTCTATTAACAGAAAAAGTCTGTCAGAAGGGGGCTGACCTAAAAGTGATATTAGACATTTCGTGGCAAAAAGATTACCTATCATAACCTGTCCATTACACCTCCATTAGTCTCAAAATTGAACATAACATTGGGGGGCCAACAAGATAAAAGTTTCACACATTAAGTACACTTATAAGAGCTGGGATAAATCTACGAGGGAAAAAAAAGAATTTTAAAATATATTACAAAGCTAGCCAGGCCTGGTGGCACATGCCTGTTATCACAGCACTTGGGAGGCTGAGGCTGGATTATCAGGAGTTTGATGCCAGCTTGGACTACATAGTAAGTTCAAAACCAGCCTGAACCACACAGTGAGACTCTGTATCAAAAAAGGGAAAAAAGCGCTAATTTTAAAGGTAGTTTGGTAGCAGAGACTAGAAAGACCACTAAAGAAAAGCCTAGATGTTGCTCCAAATATGGGAACAGAATATGAGACAAAGGCTGCACACCAAGTCAGGGAAGGATGGATGATCCACTAACTGTGGTGGATTGCACAGGTTAGCTCTTGACGATGTTAGCCACGGATTTGAGAGGGAGGCAGACCCCTTTGCTGACAAACATATTTAAACAAACAAATGAACAAACAAACAAACATGGCAAACCAAAAAAAAAACTATGAGAATATGTAAACTATGAGAATAGGAAGATGCAGAAAATTAAATTCAGCTGAGTAGCATGATACAAAATTAATAGCATTCCTGTATACCAATAATGAACCCACTGGGAAAAAAAACTAGAAAAACAATCCCATTCACAATAACTTCAAAAAAATACTTAGGAATTAATTAACCAAGGTAGTGAAAAACCTTTGTAACTATGGTACCTTAAAACTATGGTACAAAACTATGGTATAACAAAAGACAAGACATCAGAAAATGAAAAGATATTCCCTTATCCTGGGTAGGCAGAAGCAATATTGTCAAAATGGCCATATTACCTACCAAAAATGATACATAGATTGAACGTAATCCCAATGAAAATAAAAAAACATTTCTCATAGAACTAGAAGGAACAATTTTATATGGAACCTGAAGAGACCTAAAACAGCCCATCTTGAGCAACAAGAGCGAAGCAGGATGCATTACAACCTCAGATTTCAAGTTATATTACAAAACTACAGTGATAAAAACAGCATGATGTGGTGGCCTATAATCCCAGCACTAGGGAGGCTGAGGGAGGAGCGTCACTGTGAGTTCAAAGCCAGCCTGAGCTACAAAATGACACCCTGTCTCAAGAGGACAAGCAAATAAAAAACAGCACGGTACTGGCACAAAAAAGACATGTTGATCAATGGTTTAGAATTAAGAATACAAAAACAATCCTAGGCACCTTTAGCCATCTGATCGACAAAGGGGCCAAAAACAGCACTGAAGAAAAAAAGATAGCCTCTTTAATAAATGTTGCCTGAAAAACTGGTTATCCACATGCAGAAGAATGAACCTAGATCCATATCTATCACCTTATACTAAAATCAAATAAAAAAATTAGTAAGTAAAATCAAATCAAAATAGATCAAAGACCTAGACATAAAAAAAGAAACACTGAAACTGCAGGGAGGTAAAATAAAGACTTCCTAAACAGAACCCGCATTGCACAATAACACCAACAGCCAACAAATGGGATTATGCCAAATTAAAAAGCTTCTGTACAGCAAAGAAAACAACAGTGAAGAGAAAACCTACAGAAAAGAATTTTTTCCAGCTAATCCTCAGATACATGACTAATATCAAAAATATACAGACACACACAAAAAAAATTAACCCCCCCCAAAATAAAAGACCCAATCAAAAACTGGGCAACTGAAATGAACAGACACTTATCAAAAGTACAGTAGTACAAATAGGCTGTGGGTACAGGAGAAATTGTTCAGCATCTCTGCCCATGACAGAAATGCAAAGACTGAGATTCTGTCTTTAGCTAGAAACAGTGGCTATTATCAAGAACTCAACGACAGTGGTTGGGAAGGTTGTAGGGAGAAGGAACGCTTCTATATTGTGTTGGGAATATAAACTAGTACAATCACTGCAGAAATCAGTATGGCAATTCCACAAAGAAATAAAAGTAAGAATTCCACTTTATCCTCTATTCCTCTTTTGGGTATCTTCCTAAAAGAGTTAAAGACATATTACAGTTATACATGCACAGCCACATTTACAGCAGTACAACTTTTTTTTTTTTTTTTTTGGTTTTTCTCCGGTACCGGGAACCGAACTCACGACCTTGCGCTTGCCAGGCAGACACTTTGCCGCTGAGCTAAATCCCCAGCCCCTACAGCAGTACAACTTATAATACTGGTAGCTAAGTCTTGGAAGTAGCCTACATGTCCATCAATAGAGAAACAGATTTTTCAGATGTGGTCTGTACACACAATGGAGTACTGCTCACGCAGAAAGGGTAGAGCTGAGTCACTTGTAGGAAAATGGATGCACTCTGAGTCCATAATGCCACGTGAAATAAATCAAACACAAGTTGAGCATCGTATTTTCTCCTGTATGAGAAGCCTAAAATATAAATAAAAGAGCAAAATAAAAAGATGACAGGAAACAAGAGATAGACTCTGTGGACATGGAAGGGGGTCTCAGGACAGGGGAAGATAAGAAAGGAAAGAGCAGAGAAGTAAAACGAATCAAGATGTGTATGTACACTTTCCCGTGATTAATACGTTTTTTATGCACTGCAAACATATACCAATAATTTTTTTAAAAATTTTTTTTAAAAAAAGGAAAGAAAGAAAGATAGCAAGACTTCAAACCCACTGGCCATAAAGAAAAACCATGAGCTGGGGATGGCACCAGCACGTCTCTAATCACAACTCTCCGGGAGCCTGGAGCAGGAAGATCACAAATTTAAGCCCAGCCTAGCCAATTTAGTAAGATCCTATCTCAGAAAACTAAAAAAAAGAGCTGAGGATGTAGCTCGGTAAGAAGACCCTCAATACCGCCAAAAAAGAAAACAACAAAAACATTAATATAAGTCTGACCACATAAATACTGTGGCAAAAGATTACCATCCACATATTAATCAAAAGAAAATATTTAGAACATAAGCTAGAAAAGGACTTTTCTTAATGTACATGTAATTCTTATAAACCAAGAAAAATATGAAAACGAACACTGGCAGTTTCAAAATAAAGTCAAATGACAGTAATACTAAAAGATGATCCGCTTCATTCTAGGTAAACACAATGCATATAAACTGCATGTAAATTTTCATCTATCACTTTGACAAAAACGAACAAGTATGATAATACAGTGTTGGCAAGGGAAAAGCACATTTTCATAAACTGTTGGTGAGGACTGAATTTACACAGCCTTTAAAGGAGCCAATTTGATATCTTTCACAATCCAAGCCACAAAAACCCTTTGACTTGGTGAATTATAAAAACATGTTCAACACGTACATTTTTCCACATTAGACTACACCTTTCTCTTCAAGGATATTCATTGTAACAATGGTTGAAACGGAAAAATAAAACAAAACGTTTCAAATAACCACTGAATGCCACCAGAGCATGGGTGACAAGGTGGGGCACTTACACCAAGCAGAGTGCTACGCAGAGTGAGGTAGCTACGTGCTGACAGGGGAAGGTCTCCTGAGACTATAAGTAAGAAAGCAAGATGCAGGGTAGTATATATAATATGATCCCATTTATTTAAAAATAAAGATTACATATTTGCTCATATATGCATAAAAATTTTCTGAAAATCACATAAGAAATTGTTAATAGAGTTTACATCTGGGGAATAGTAGTATTGGGGGTAAGATGCCAAAGGGAGACTTCATTTTCATATTATATCCTTATATATTGTTTTGGATATCTTACCATATTTTTTTTTTTTTTTTTATCTTACCATATTTTTTAAAGAGGTAAAACAGAGGAATCCTCCTACTAAAGATAGTATGTTTTTATGCGCATTTCCCTAAGATTTATATTTGATTTTCTTCAAGACAAACTGACTTGAGGTACTCAATGTTTTTATAAACGTATTTCTAGCAATAAGGTCACACCCACTTGGCAGGTTTATTTTAAAAATACATATTGCTATTAGATGGCAAAACTTTAAATGGGATGCTTATTGGAGATTTTTTTCAAATTCACTTTTTAAATTATGTACATAACAGGATCACTGTAAAAAGCTGGGAAAAATGTAAGGGTGCAAAAAAGGAAAACTAGAATCACATATAACCACTCTTACCAGTATTGTTTTGCTGTTTTCTTTCTTTACACATATATTAATATGTAGTCTTACCTATATATAATATGCATTTACAAAGCTGGTACCATGGCGTACCTACAGCTCTGTATCCTGCTTCTTTTCCCCCAACACGTAACAGATGCTCAGTAAACATATATTAAAGTGAATTACTGAGTTAGTATTGTACCATTTCCCCTCATCAAAAATTACTTCTACAAGAAGGCATTTAGTTGGTTTCCAGTTTCTAAGTAAAATAAATATACTTTATGATATGTCTCAACTAATCTTTATCTGTATGATCATTCCTCTGGAAAAACTATTGGATCAGAGTGTACAAAATATTAAAGATCTATTGGTTCTCACTCCTACCAACAGCTTAGCCTACTCTCATTGTATCCTTGCCAACACTCTTACCATTTTAAAAACTCACTGTTATATCACTGGTGAAAATCAGAAGCTTGCTGAGAATTTCTTTCTCCCATTACAAAATAACTGTCCCATATATTGACTCAAAAGCAATACTGTCCAATCTAAAAACAAAGCATATATCACACACCTTTTTTCAAACATCATTAGTTTAGTGGTCTCCACTAACAAAATTATATGTTAAGTCAGACTAAGAATCTCTTTCAATCTTTTAATAATAATCATATCAGTCAATGTATATTTTTATACTTCTTGGCCTATACCACAGGTACTTTAGGTCCTAAAAGTGTGTATAAAGTATCAGCATAAAGGTGAGAGGAACTCCAGGTTACAGACTAGTTGTTCCTATCTGTTTTGCATCAGATGAGAACAAAGACCACCAAGTTATACAAAGTAATGCCTCAAGAGATGATAAATGCCATCAAGCGTCACAAAATGTCTTTCCTTCAGTGATATTTAAGGTAACGCAGCCAGCTATTTTACTGAGATAGCTTAGGAATACTGGCAGGGAAAAAAAAAAAATCAAAGCAGTATGACCTTAACAGAACCTTGTACAATAAAAAGATGCTTAAAGCAAAAATAAGATCATTCTGATTTTTGGAAAAGAGTTTTTTATTCAGTATTTAAGTAAGATTAAAACCTACAAGATTTTGCTTGCAGCTGATGAGCAAAAACAGGAAAGTTAAACATAAGTTATCATCTGATTGGCTAGTTAAAACGCTCTAGGAGTCAAGTTACTCAGTGACATACCAGTTACTTTGTGTGGACTCGAGTCTTGAAGAAAAGGGTATTCTACACAAAACATGTCATCTGAGAGCACAGGGCTGAAGGGAATATAAAATACCGAAGCAGCAGCTGATAGAGGCCTTGGCAGACCTTTCAGGTTTTTTAGGCATCTAGCAGTTGTTACTGTATGCAAGGACCTAGCAGCCAGTTATTTTATGTCTTGACTTTTTGAGTTAAACACTTTAACCCATACCCACTAAGCAGAAATAGAGACACTTTATAGATCAGTTGGGAAACATAAAGCAGACCCACTTCTCCAGTAGAGGAAGAGAACAATGATTACTATACATATTGTACGCGGTGCACTACATCTGCTGGGTAGAATTTCCGTTCCAAGTGTTGTTTTCGTCTTCACCATCATCCTGAGTTCTCAATCTATATATCTTTCCTTCCTTTTTAAAGTCTTCCCCTCGTTTTTCCAGCACTCTTTTTCTGACTGGTTCCCTGTTACACAAAGGAGGGAGAAGAGGGAAAATGATATAAAATGAAAATAACAGTAACACGAAGTTTCTTCAAACTTTCATTAGTACAGTACAGGCAGCTGTATTTTACTTTTTCTTTTTTTTGGTCTTTTAGAGACAGGGTCTCACTATGCAGTTCAGGCTGGCCTTGAGCTCACTTTGTAGCCCAGGCTGGTCTGGAACTCAACAATCCTCCTGCCTCCGCCTCCCAAGCACCGGGCTTACAGGCGTGTGCCATCATGCCTGGCCTGTATTTTACCTTTTTAAAAAAAATTTACTTTTAACTCCAAGGTAGGAAAATGCATGGGGGATAATTATATCTACTAATGCAGTACACTAGACTGTATTAGTCTTTTGTTACTAAGTCAAACCAACCAAACTATATTTTCTGTTTCCAAGTACAGCATTTCTTGATGATTTACGAAGCTTTAAGAAAGTATGACCATATGCTAAGTAACCTTTCCTATTTAAGCAAGCTGATATACTTACTACACAGCACCCTAGAGGCCTTCCAAAGTTCCCGGCATGATTGAAATGACAAAAATGGTCAATCAGTGATTTCTAATCCTCTCAAAATCTTTTAGAATGACTTACAACTAAGAACAAGGACTTCCTCATGTGAAAATAGGAAGGAAGGGCTAGGCATATCGCTCAGTGGCCTAAGCGCCTGCCTGGCAAGTATAAGGTCCTGAGTTCGATTCCCAGTACCAAAAAAAAGAAAGATAAATTCAAAAGCCAGGCGTGGTGCACACCCTTGTAATCCCAGCACTCGGGAGGCTGAGGCAGGAGGACTGTTGTGAATTTGAGACCGGCCTGGGCTACAAAGTGATCTCAAGGCCAGCCTGAATTGCACAGCGAGACCCTGTCTCAGAAAGACCAAAAAAAAAAAAAAAAAAAGAAGGAAATTGAAATCTATGCTAAAAATTTTTGTAACGGGGTAGACAACAGAACAAAGCCTTACCCTCTTAGATGCCTTAACACATTCTTTGCCTCAATCCAACCTTTATTTGAATGTTTTTAAAAAACCTACACAGCAAATTATCTTACATTTCAGTAATTATTACAGTGTTAAATGCTGCTACCCACTGTTCAGTAGGAGTTCTAGAGTTCAGTACTAAAAAGGCCCACTTTAAACGCTATTCTAAGACAGGACAGAAGAATTTCCCCACGTCCTTGACTTAAGTACTGTAAGAAGGATGTAATGGGTTTGGTTCCTAGTAGTCAAGAAGTCAGTCAAGATAAAGGCTCATCAGTCTAGTCACAGTATCCATATAAATCATCTACAGACTCAACTGAACGCAGGACTAGGGGTCTCCCCACAGAAAGCAGGAGGAGGCAAGGACTCTCAACACATAACACAGGACTGACATGAGATGTGCTACAATGCCTGTTACAGGCTCAAGAGTATTTAGCGAGAACAAACATTGTACCCAGCGGTACCTCCTTTCCCAAACAATTCCACAGTTCTGGTCACGAACTAAATTGGAAAAGAACCAAAACAAATTCAATGGTTAGATTCAATTTTGACCTTATGGGGAAATCCAATTTGGTTCTTGTCCAATTCGGTTTGTGACAAAAATCGTGGAAAGGATTAAGTTCAAGAACCAAAGAACCACTGTATAATGTAGTAATTATTAGAAGGAAGTATAATCTCCTCTTCTAGAAAAGTGCATCCTGTTTACTTGCTTCAAGTATGTACAACTGTAACCATAAAGAGGTACAAGTTAAAACTGTTAGTGTTATCTGTATTACCACTCAAACCTCTGCTATCTGCAATAAAAGGTCTCTTTTTTGTTTTGTCAGTTTCAGTCAGGTTTCATTACGCACTTCAGGCTGGCTTCAAACTATCAATGATCTTCCTGCCTCAGCCTCCCGAGTGCTGGGATTACAGGCATGTGCCAGCCACCACACTCAACTCAAAGGTGATTTTAGGACCATTTCATATTCCTGTTGAGAATTATATTTTTTGCTGGGAGTGGTGGCGCACACCTGTAATCCCAGCACTCAGGGGGCTGAGGCAGGAGGATCAGTGAGAGTTCGACATCTGCCTGGGCTACAAAGTGAGCTCAAGGCCAGCCTGAACTACAAAGTGAGACCCCCATCTCCAAAAGATAAAAGTTCCTTTCCATAGAACACATTTTAAAACACTTCTTTTCTCTCTCTACCATGGGGGGGTGAGGACAGGACATACATATACCAGTAATAAAGTATCCGTAACATAATTCTTCATTTTGAAAAAGGTACTAAGCATTACCTAAATATTTTATAAATGAATAAGGAAAACAGACATATACCTTTTCTCTGATTTGCCAGATGATGCAGGGTTTGCAGGTTCTGGTGATGGTGTTCTCACTGAAGTCTGTGCAGAAGGAGGGTTACTAAATAAGAAGTTGCTGATCAATCTCCAGATGGCAAGAAATGGGTAAAGTACTGTTCCCAACAATGTCCAAATGTCTCCACTGGAGGAGTGTACAATGGATGTAGCCGGTCTTCCTGCCTAGAAATTTAAAAATACACCTATATAAAGACTGCATCAGCATAATCCCATCACTGAAGGTTCCTAGTTGCATCTTTTATTTGGAAAATGAGGTCCTATGGATTTGAGATTGTTGCAAGAACAACGACCACTTTTGCTCTTTTTTTTCCAACTCTATATAAATTTCTAGGCAACTCTTGGAGCTCCAATTTTTAAGAATAGCTATACAAATTAAAAGGCACTTCTCAATGGTGAAATAAACCTTCTTGCTGACCAAAAAATGTTTCAAAGCTCAGTGAATAAAATAAAATTCTGGCCAGGTGGTGGTGCAAGCCTGTAATCCCAGCACTTGGGAGGCTGAGGCAGGAGGATCATTGTGAGTTCAAGACCAGCCTGGGCTACAAAGTGAGCTCAAGATCAGCCTCAACTGCATACCGAGACCCTGTCTCAAAAAGAAGCCCCCCACCCCCCCAAAAAAAATTCTGATTAATATAGGGTTGTTTTAGGTAAGGTGTTGGGAGGGCTCCTAGACTATAGGGAAACTAAACTCAGAAGAGCCAGGATCTCATTCCAGCTCTGTCACCTGGGACTTTGGTATCAAGATTTCCGAGCTTCCTTTTGTAAGGATCAAAGAGGATAATACATTTGAAATTTTGTTATAATTTTTTAAAGATATGGTAAAAAACAGAATCATATATAAACAAAAGACATCAAATCTGTAGCTTAGACAGATATTCTGCATTTGTTTGGTTTTGGGATTTTTTTTTTTTTTTTTTTTTGAGACAGCATCTCACTAAATAGTCAGGCTGGCCTGAACTCACTATGTAGCCCAGGCTGCCCTTGAACTCCCAGAAATCCTCATGCCTCAGCCTCCCAAGTGCTGGAATTACAGGCATGCACCACCATACCTGGGCTACTCCATATTTCTTTTTTTTTGAGAGATAGGGTCTCACTAAGCCACTATGTTACCCAGGCTGAGCTGGAACTTGTGATCCTCCTGTCTCAACCTCCTAGCATATACAACCACACCTGGTTTCTGTATTTTTTATTTTCCTCTAGTAACTTTTTGTAAACAAAACTAGGTGAAGAAAAACTGAAAATTAAACTAGTGCCTTGCAAGGATACAAACAACAAAAATACAACAAGCATAGGATAACTGTAAAAAAAAAAAATTTGGGGGGGGGATAATTTGGATTTTAATTACCACAGGACACCGTTATTTTTCCTTCTACTAATATAAGAAATGACCAAAAATAAAACAACCAGAAAAGTGTGTAAGAGGTATTAAAAAAAAAAGAAAAAGTATATACATACTGGTAACAGCACCACTGAAGCACTTGGGGCAAGTTCCAAATCTAGTAATTTCTTTTTATAATCTTCTTTGGTAAATTCCCTCCTGGGAAACATGGTTGCTAATGAAAAATTACCGTAAGTGTTGCCAACAGTCTGTAACACAACAGTAAAAACTTTACAAGTGTCTTTCAGAAACTAAAATACTGTTGTTATTCACATGCATTAAAAAATGACTGCTGTAATTAAAACTGTCTTAATTCAGAGTTTATATAAATGTAAACTGAAAGGTTACTTTTTTATAAAGCTTCTAAAATTGAATGATAACCACAAAACAGCAAGAACAGTTCCAAAAACTAGACAAATAATCTGACTAAAAAGGACAATTACAGGCTGGTACACACCTCTGTGGGGCAGAGCAGCTGTAGCACATACAGGGTTGTGGGTCTGTCCACAGCACCGCAAAAAAGGACAATTACGTTTCTCCTTTAAGTATGGCTGCAGTTATTTGTTAGTTTTCAGTATTACTTGGCAAATGTATGTAACATCTCATAAATACGTATTAGATTATAGGGACTTCCTATTAAAAATCTAGAATACACCAGTATTTTCCTTACACACAAGTACACCTCATTTTATTGCAGTTTGCTATAATGTGCTTTGCACAAACTCTTTTTGGTTTTTTTTTTGTTTTGTTTTGTTTTTTCTCCGGTACCAGGAACCAAACTCACGACCTTGCGCTTGCCAGGCAGGCGCTTTTGCCGCTGAGCTAAATCCCCAGCCCCTCTTTTTGTTTTTTTAAGGAAGTTTAAGGTTTGGGGCAACCCTGCTGAGTAAGTCTGATAACACCATTTGCTAAAACTATGTGCTTGGGCCTGTGTCACTTCTGTTATTTCCTTTTCAAACAGATTTAGTTTTAAGATATAATGTAAGTGCATACTTTACAGATATAACATAAAAATAACCTTTATATCCATTGGGAAACTGAAAAATTTGTATGACTCTATATTGCAATGGTGTGGAACCAAACCTATAGTATCTCTCAAATATACACTGGTGTATAACTTCAAGAATGGACTGCCTCCTTATCTCAATGTTCCTAATCAACCTATACCATAAACATAATCTCAGATCCAGAACTTACAGTGGGGAACACAATGACCCTCACAACATTAAATCACTATACCTGTAAAAATCTTAAAACAACTGCTTATCTTTCCCTAGAGGATAGATATATGCAGATCATATACATACCCCTTACTGTTCTTAACTTTAACACAAGGACATACAAGAATATAGAATATAATCATCGTACTGAAATGGTTGTAATAAGACACAATTTCTTTTTTTTCTCAAGTAGCCTCTCTTCATTTACTTCTTGTAGAAGCAGTATAACACAGGGTAGGGGACACCGTGTGATAGGTTCCAAGACAAAGAAAGAATGAAATGCCTACTTGGGGTGGTATAAAGCTTATGGGGAAACAGTTTTTACATTAAGTTTTTATACTGCTCAACCCAGTTCAAGAGCACAGGAAGACAGATTTTTCAGTACCCTCTTGGGGCCTGTAAGTGACAGTCAAGAATAAATGGGGGAAAAGGGACTAATGGAAAGATGGGACCCTAACACCCAGCTCCCTAATTTTAACCTTGTAGTCACACACAGGAACACACAAGAAAAGTATCAGCATATATGATAAACCTGGATCCTAAAAGACCCCTTATGCCCAGAATCCATTCTAAATAAGGAACTAGACAATAAAAAAAAAAAAATTGGAAACTACTCATGTCTTATTTTCTAAAATATAAAATGTAATATCCTATCTAGATTTCCAGTAGGTTACAATTCAAAGGTAAATTCATGATTTACTCATATCTGTCAATTTCTGTTTTAAAATTTCCCCTTCTACATTTTAATAACCTCTATATCCATTTTTTACTTTAATGCAAGACTTTTACTGTAACTTAATTCACCTGTGCTGCGAACTGCCTTGCTTCTTCTAGAGGAGCATCAGAAGGAAACTGATTTGTAAAGGAAGAACCGTCAGGCAGACGAAACTGAATTCTTGCCACAGTGCTACAAAAAAAGAAAATTCAAGTTAGTACCTTTACAGATTTTCAAACTGTATCATTAAAAAAAGGAAATGGAAGTGGAAACATGCAACGACAACAGACTGCCTTTCACATCAGAGCTTTCATTGTTTATTAACACCACACTGAGAGACAATTCATATAACTCACCCATTTAATATGTACAACCCAGTGGATTTCAATATATTCAGAGTTAACCATTACCATTATTTCCAGAACATTTTACTACCTCCAAAGAAACCCATTAGCAATCACTCTCTGGCAACCATTAATCTATTATCTGCATGGATTAGCCTCTTTTGGACATTTCATATAAGAGAATCATACAATATATGATCTTTTCTAACTGGTTTCTTTTATGTAGCATTATGTTTTCAAAATTCATCTATGCATGTATTGGTTCTTTATTCCCCTTTATTGGTCAATATTGCAGCTGTAGAAGATATATATTTTGTTAAATAAAGATAATGCCAGGCATGGTGGCGCATGCCTGTAATCCCAGCACTTGGGAGGCTGAGGTAGGAGGATCACTGTGAGTTCGAGGCCAGCCTGGGCTGCAAAGTGAACTCAAGGCCAGCTTGAACTGCATAGCAAGACCCTGTCTCAAAAAGATGAGGAAAAAAAAAAAACAAACACCTAAATGAAGATACTCAATCGCCATTTAGGTTACTGTCACATTTTGAATATGAAAATTATGAATAATGCTAAGAATATTCATATGTACAGGTTTTTGTGTGAGTATGTTTTCAATTCTCTCGGATATGTATTTAAGAGTGATTGCTAGATCATATGGTAACTACATTTAACATTTTGAGGAACTACCAGATTGTTTTCCAAAACAGCTACACCTTTTTACCATTTTATAATCCCAATGTTAATGCAGGGAAGTTCCAAATTCTATCTCCTCACCAACACTTGTTATTATCTCTTTAAATGTACGCATTCTTTTTTCGTTTGTTTTTCAGAGAGGGTCTCACTACGTAGTCCAGGCTGGCCTTAAACTAACTATGTACCTCAGGGTCTCCTAGAACTCAGGGATCCTCCTGCCTCTCAAATGCTGGGATTACAGGCATGCGCTAAAATGTTCAGCAGGGTTAGGCATTCTTATGGATGCGAAATGTTATCTTATTGTGGGGTACGTGTGCTTTTGTTTTTGCTTCTTGCAGGGCAAGGGATCAACCCAGGGACTTGGGTCGACTAGGGAAGTGATCATCACTTATTATAGTCTTGTGTCCCCTTATGATGCGGGCACCTTTTCACATGAACATTGGCTTTTCTTCTCTGGAAAAATGCCCCTTTAAATCCTTTCCCCATGTTTGAATTGGGGTTTTTTTTATTGTTGAATTATAGGTTTTCACATTCTGGATACAAGTCTCTTATTAAATATACAGTTTGCAAATATTTTCTCCAATTTTATATATTGTCTTTTCAGTTTGTGAAACAAAAATGTTTCAAATTTTTACAAAGTCTAATCTTTCTTTTGATGCCTATGCCTTTTGGCATTGTCTACGAATCCACTGCCTACTCCAAGATCACAAAGCTTTCCTTTTCCCCCCTAAAAATTTATACTTTACACAGCTTTACATTTAGGTGGATGATCCATTTTTTGTTTTATTTTGTTTTTTTAGATGACCCATTTTGAATTGACATTTTACATGGTATGAGGTAAGGGTCCAAATTCATTCTACTGCATGTGGATAACCTCTTGTCCAAGTATAGTTTGTTGAAAACATTATACTTCCCCATTTAATAGTTTGGTATCCTTCTCAAAAATTATCATAAATACAATTTCTAAAAAAATCAACTCTATTATAGTGACTGACACATTCATTCATCCTTATGCCAGCATGACAATGTCTTCATCACTCCAGCTTTGTAGGAAGACATTTAAGGGATTAAACCCAGGCCTGCTAGGCAAGTACTTTACCACCGAGCTATAGCCTCAGCACCACCATCCTACCTGTTCTCTTTTAAGAAATTTGTCTGGTCTTTTTGAAACAAGGTCGCACTATGTTGCCAGGCTATGTGTCACTGAACTCACCATGTAGCCTACATGTGATCTAGGCTGACAGCCGCCCAAGTGAGGACTTGTAGACGTGTCACCATGCCTGGCACTAATTTCTCTTTTCTTTTGTTCCCTCCCTCCCTTGCTAAGTCACAAAGTTGCCCCAGATGGCCTCGAACTCAAGGCAATACTCTTGACTTAGCCTCCCACAGGGCTAGGATTATAGGCATGTACCACCACACCTACCTTGAGATACTGTTTTTAGGCATGTACCACCACACCTACCTTGAGGTACTGTTTTTAAAAGTACTTGGGAGGCTGAGGTAGGAGGATCACCCCGAGTTTGAGACCAGCCTGGGAAATACAGTTCAAGACCAACTTAAACTGCATAGTGAGATCCTGTCTCAAAGAAACAAAACAAAAACCCCAGCAAGAAATACCTTCTTTCTCGAGCATATGATTCCCTCTTGCCTTCTATTTCTGCCTGTTTGGCCAGCAAGGCAGCAGCTTTGGCAGCCTCTACTTCTTCCTTTGTCTTTGCAAAACGAGCAGCTCTCTCTGCGCGATCCTTTTAATTAAAACATCATTAGATGAGTAATTATCTTTCACTGCCAGAATGATCTATTCATACACTTCCAACGCAAGAAACAAATATATATGAAATCCCTTCAATCCATGTGAACTCTGGTCATCCTGAATCTGCTATTAATTTTACCAACCATGTCAGGAAGCATAGTTATTATTAGACAAACAAGGACAGGAACTTGCTCACTATTGTATCTCTAGAGCCTGGAACAAGGTCTAGCACATAGATGCTGAATAAATACTTGCAGAACGATCAAATGAACAACCAGTATTGAAATAGGTGTAGTCTTTATATCTAGTCCAGCTGCTGAATTCTAAAAGCAATTGCTACAAAACCACCCTAAAGGTGAGGGCATCCTAAGCTTTATGATGTGCCTAAATCCTTTGAATGTCCCCTCCAAAAATGCTTTTCATTAGCAATTGTTATATAATCACTTACCTTATTTCTAGGTAATCTTTGAAAGCTGTCTTTACTGAAAAATTTACTGAGAAAAGTAATAAATGAAAAACAAGGTCTGGTATTCTTTGAATCACTAAAGCCCAGTATGGGGGGGGGGCGTTTACTAGGAATTGAACTCAGGACCTTGCACTTGCCACGCAGACGCTGTGCAATTGAGCCCAGCCCACTATTTTTGTGTGCACCATCTGGCTGTAACCCAAAGCGACTCTACATGGGAAAATAATTTCACTAAAACCATGGAGTCAAAAAAAAAAGCTTACCAATGCAATTTGCTGTTTTATCCGTTCTCGAGCTGCCCTATCTTCTGCCTTTTCTCTGTTTCTTTCCTCCAACATTCTTTTTGTTAATTCTTCTTCTTGTTTCCTTTTATAGTCCAACATTTCTTTTCCAGTTTTTCTCCTTTCAATTTCCTTCTTAATCTCTCTCTGAATCAAAGAGAAAGAAAATTTTATGAACCAAAAACAAATGTTAATAATCTGTCCCAGGTATTATTTTGAAAGCACAGAAAGCTGACTATTACGGTAGAGTCGACAGTAGAACTTCATGAAATCAGAGATCTAATAGAATTTATTCACAGCACGGTTAAAGGACAAATGTCTATACACCTTGTAAAGTTTTGCCAGTTTCAGGCTACAACAGTCCATGTAACCTGAAGACAAGCAGAATTACAGGTCTTTGGTGTTTTAGGGCAAACGTGTTGCCCTCCATGGATGACCACAGCAGTGATTTGGCTTTGGTGATTTGAAGGAAATGAGCTCCAAAGAGATGATGCAGTGAGGTGCACATGGTGAGAAAAATGAGGGGTGAACTAAGACACAGCAACACTACCAGAAAAATTCAGCACACTACACTTGTTTTTTTTTTTTTTTAGCTCAGGCTGCTGTTAAACTGGCTATGTAGTCCAGGCTGACCTTGAATTCACCATGATCCTCCTGCCTCAGCCTGCCGGGAGTGCTGGGATTATACACGTGTGCCAACCTGCCTGACTTGAGAATGTCTATACATTTCTTTGCCACAAAAGGGAATTAATAAATTTGATCTTCTACCTCAAGTCCATTTTTGTCCAAGTCCCTCTCATACTTAAAAGACGCACTGCTTAGGGGAAAAAAAATATTACTCCTAGCAATTTATAAAAAACAACAACAAAAAAAACCTCCATGAAGTATACATTATCATCTGAGTGTAGAAAGCAAGTAATTCCCTTCACTGCAACACTGCTACCACATGAACCTAAGTAGGAAGTCATTCCAGGTCTGTCAAATTGAACAAAACAATCAAAACTTCCCCCACTTAAGGGAAGGATAAAACAATGCTACGTGCATGAACTTTACCTGTTCTTCTTCTTTCCTTTTCTCTTCTCTCCTTTCTTCAAGTTTTTTTGTTAATCTGTATTTTAAAAAATATACAGTGAGGCATATCACTTTAAATTAAAACACATTTAAGAGATAAGTACTTAGCTAAAACAACTAAGGAAAAAAAAAAAAAACAGAAAAACTAGAAAGAAAAGCCAGGATTACAGGCATGGGCCATCACACCCAGCTGACTTCGCAGCGCATAAGAAATTTTCTATTAACCTGGTGCTGGTGTCCAATAATACATCTACTGAGGAAAAGCAGGGCAGGTAGAAAGCAGGCGATGAACCAAACACTTCTAAATAATACAAGCTAATGGATTTAGAAGGAATAAAATTGTGAAAACAAAAAGGTTTAACTATCAATGAAATAACTAAGCAAAAACGAATGGATGTCAAAAGAGGAACATTTCTGAAAAACAGGATATTCACAGTTTCAAAGAATCTTGTTAGAAAGGAAAAGGAATACCTAATGATGGAAAGATCCAGAAAGTGTCATCAACCAAACGATAAAACTTAACATCAACCTCGGCAATAACGTATACATTTGATGTTAGTTGCCCTCTGATGTGAGTAATAAGAAGGACAAACAACTGCCTAGGTAATGTTTGTAATGAAAGTTTAACCTAAATCTCACAACAATAGAACAGGGACAGAATCATGGAACATTCTAGAAACAACAAGCCTACACTCTTCAAAAGGTGTCCAACTCATGAAAAATGCCAACAAAAACGAGGGAACTGTTTGGGTTTAAGCAATCCTAAATTAAATGTAACAAACAACCCCTGACTGAATCTAAATTGGGAAATTTTCTGAGGAGGTTTATTATTGGGATAATTGGGAACATTGGAAATACCGACATTATTAATCTTACCGTATAGTTTCATAATTTCTGAGTGTGAGACCACTCTTGCGCTAATACCTAAAAATGTATTTTTTCATTCTATACCACATGTAGAATTTTCTTTTGAGAAAATCAAATGCAATTTTACCATATCTAGATGAAAAACCACAGTAAATTAACTAATGACAAACTGACCATTTCATCACTTTTGTATCTGGGTATCTACTTATTTCCCCATTTGGTACTGGGGGTTGAACTCAGGGAGTCCTACCACTGAACTGTACTACTAATTTCTGAGACAGGACCTTGTTAAATTGCCCAGGCTGGCCTTGAATTTGCAATCCTTTTGCCACAGCCTCCTGAGTAGCTGAGGTTACAGATACATGCCACCTAGCGCAGTCTACCAGTTTGGTATGTATTTCTTTTCGTCCCTTTTTTTTTTAAAACATCTTTAGGGAGATTGAATCCAGAGTCTCACTCATGCTACACAATTGCTCTAATACCAAGCTACATCTTCATCTGGGTATGTACTTCTTAAAAGCCATTTTGCCTGCCTCGGACAGGGCTTGAGAGTATGAACATGGAACCCAAGTCCTGGCCTAGGTAGAAATCCTGCTCTGAGACCACAGATTCTGAGCTATTCTTTATTCTTAGGAGATACATGTTGAAGTATTCAGAGATAAAGTGGAATTATGCCTATAACTTTCAAAGGAATCAGAAAAAAGAAAAGTAGCAATATAATTCTTTCAACTTTAAAATGTGACACTTTTTTAAATAAAAAAATTGAATTCAATGGTCTGTATCTTTCCCAGATGTTTTCATGTGAATTCATATCTCAGGTTAACTTTAATACACTTGATCTTAGCCAAAAGGCCGAGAAGCAATCTCTCAGATTAACTTTTAATAACGCACATATAATAATGAAAAAACTCTAACAGTTAAAGAAAACAAAAAATTATATATTTTAATATTAAAAATAAAAACTTGGGCATGAAAAGTGCTGCTCCAACCCTGCCTGCCACTGTCTCTAGCGCCAGCTACGTCATTGCCCCTGATACTATGGCCTATTACAAAGCCGCCAAATTGAAGCGCAAGCAGTTCCAGAGGGACTGTGAGAATTCGGGGGTGCTGCACATGTTGACCAAGGTGCTGGTAGCCTTATATGAAGAACCAGAGAAACCTAATAGTGCTTTGGATTTTTTTAAAGCATCACTTAGGAGCTGCTACCCCAGAAAATGCAGAAATTCAGCTGCTTTGCCTAGAACTGGCAGAAATGAAAGGAAGTATGAAGCTGCGATAGAAGAAAATTAAAAACTGACAGCAAAGCTTGCTCAGTGTGAGCCACCCCAGGAGAAGTGTCTGATAGGGTTCTTCTCAGTTGAAAAGACACTAAAAATGGTTCTGTATGACTGGAATAGTTTGTACAGTATATCATCCTTTCTGACCTGATGCTATAAAGCTTTTAATATGTTAAATTCACCTCTCACACTTTAATGTTATAAACACATATACTTAGAATCACCAATAAAAATTCAATATAACTTTCTTTGGGTCTTAAAGCAGGAGAATCCAAAGTAAATCCTGAAGAAAACCTAATGCGTCGCCTTAAAAGACGTTCTATTTATTAGTCTGATTAGGAGTAATACTACTGGTTGTATTTACCCAAGGATGTTTGGCGTGGAGCTGTTCCTTGGTTCAGTTCAGGATCTGAGCATAGGTACAATCATGCTTTACAATGAAGATAGCAGTGTTTACATTCCCTGTAGGCATCTGGAGAAATCTGTGTGACATACGATGCTTTTGCATGGGTTCCCAGGAATTTTCTGCTCTTGTTTATATAATGTGGAAGAAGTAACTCTTTGCCACCACTTTGCCTTAGATAACTACGTGTGTACCAGACTGAACTGTGACACCACTTTTTTCTTCTATGAAATCACACTCTGTCTGATAATGTTGCCTTGCTTTGCTGTGTACTTTAGTGGGTCCTAGTTGCTCATAAGCCTTTGTGTGTTCACTTTGCTTAATAATGCCACTACCCTGATTGTGACTTATATAATGTTAAACAAGAGCACACTGTTACCCTGCCTTACCTCGTTGCTTAGTACACACAGAGGTAATATAAAT